AGAGCAAAACGTTGCCAAATTAAAATGTGGCATTAGTATCACATTTGTCCTGATACGCAGTTCGAACACCAACCAACTGTTCGCTCCTCACGTTCTATCAAGCAGAATTCTTCCTTACATGTAATGATGAAATATACAAGTCTGAACTAGAAGATTTCAATTGGTGACGCACTCACCTGACATACTGAGGTCCGGTGTTCGATCCCCGGTACGGTTGTAAGTACTTGGGTGTGTTTCCTTAAGACACCTGCTGTTCCTGTTTACCTAGCAGTAAGTAGGTACGTGGATGTTAGCCGAATAGTGTGGGTCGCATCCTGGGAACAAAATTAACCTAACTTCCCCGAAATGCTCTGCATAAAAAAAACGGGGCCCTTTTAAACAGTAAGTCACTGTGTCGCTATGGTTCTGTATACCTTGTACATGTACAAATAAAGATTATTATAATTAGTAATAATAATAATTATTATTACCAGTTATGGCAGCTTCAAAGTTTTCCTTCCGGGAAAGATGGCTGTATAATCCTACGGGTTTAGCGCTTTCCCCTTGATTATAATAATAATAATAATAATAATAATAATAATAATAATAATAATAATAATAATAATGGAGTTGTCCTTACCTGGAAATCAACTCGTGCCAGCAGACAATGGTAGTTCCTCCTCCCTAGACGCCCAGGCCAGACGGTGAAGATTTTTATCGTTCAACACGGGGAACATTCTGTCTTGTAGTTCACATTATTTCTGTAAGTGCACAAGGAAATGAAATATTAGCATATTTGTTACTGATATTTGTGTAGTGAATATTGAGCACCTTACACTAGCAATGTTGAGCATCTTACACTAGCAATGTTGAGCACCTTACACTAGCAATGTTGAGCACCTTACACTAGCAATGTTGAGCATCTTACACTAGCAATATTGAGCATCTTACACTAGCAATGTTGAGCATCTTACACTAGCAATGTTGAGCACCTTACACTAGCAATGTTGAGCATCTTACACTAGCAATATTGAGCATCTTACACTAGCAATGTTGAGCATCTTACACTAGCAATATTGAGCATCTTACACTAGCAATGTTGAGCATCTTACACTAGCAATATTGAGCATCTTACACTAGCAATGTTGAGCACCTTACACTAGCAATATTGAGCATCTTACACTAGCAATATTGAGCATCTTACACTAGCAATATTGAGCATCTTACACTAGCAATGTTGAGCACCTTACACTAGCAATGTTGAGCACCTTACACTAGCAATGTTGAGCACCTTACACTAGCAATTTTGAGACACTTACACTAGCAATGTTGAGCACCTACACTAGCAATGTTGAGCACCTTACACTAGCAATATTGAGCACTGTTACACTAGCAATGTTGAGCACCTTACATAGCAATGTTGAGCATCTACACTAGCAATTTGGCACTAATAGAATATGAGCATCTTACATAGACATGTTGAGCACCTTACCTAGCAATGTTGCCTTGACACTAGCAATGTTGAGCATCTTACACTAGCAATGTTTGGCACTTACCTAGCATGTATGAGATCATTACACTAAGCAAATTGACACCTACATAGAATGTTGACATTTACACTAGCAATGTGAGCTCTTACCTAGCAATGTGAATACATGCAATTGGCATCTTACACTAGCAATGTGAGCACTAATGGCAATGTTGAGCCTACACTACAAGTTGAGCTCTTACCAGCAATGTTGAGCACTTTACATAGCATGTTACACCTACACTAGCAATGTGAGCACTTTCATTAGCAATGTTGAGCATCTTACTTCTAGCAATGTGAGCACCTTACATAGCAATGTTGAGATCTACACTAGCAATTTGAGCCTTACTAGCAATGTTTGGCATTTAATAGCAATGTTGAGCACCTTACACTAGCAATATTGAGCATCTTACACTAGCAATGTTGAGCACCTTACACTAGCAATGTTGAGCACCTTACACTAGCAATGTTGAGCATCTTACACTAGCAATGTTGAGCACCTTACACTAGCAATGTTGAGCATCTTACACTAGCAATGTTGAGCACCTTACACTAGCAATGTTGAGCATCTTACACTAGCAATGTTGAGCACCTTACACTAGCAATGTTGAGCACTCTACACTAGCAATGTTGAGCACCTTACACTAGCAATGTTGAGCACCTTACACTAGCAATGTTGAGCACCTTACACTAGCAATGTTGAGCACCTTACACTAGCAATGTTGCAACTGACCATTTAATGTCTTTGCAAACAGTACATTGAGATTGTGTATATACAATAGTGGGTTGCAATACAAAGAGAACCTCTATTATGCCTAGGCATTATGGCCGCCAACTTAACATTATTGGCTTACAGTCTACTTAATACTAAGGAGTATATCATAGTTGTACAGTAGAATATTAATTATAAATGAATCAAAATTCGTATTATATAAAGATATACGTATTTATATTCTAAAGTGCTTTTGTGAAAAACAATGATTCATTTATATTCCTGTCAACAATGGATAAAAGGTTCAATGGGATTGTTTCAGTTATGATGTGGGAGGACATAGGTGAGTAAATGTATACTGTGTATATAGCATTTAGTCTAGGGTGATTAAGTGGCTTTTGAGAAGTCTTAAATTGATCTTCAGACTGATGTGCAACACCCGTTGCAACTGACACCAGAAATGTGCAACACTCGTTGCAACTGACACCAGAAATGTGCAACACTCGTTGCAACTCAGTAAATATCTTTTATATTTTCATTAGCATTTTTTCAGTTTCTTTTTAATTTTTGTAATTAATTTAATTTTTGTAATTTGATAGTATGGCATACCATGTACCTTGGCACTCTAGGCGACTGCCTAAGGTGCCTGTAGGGAGGGACTGGCCTAGGCAACTGCCTAGTTGGTTCTAGCCTTCCGACGGCACCAGGTTAGTCAGGAAACAAAACAAGTGTTTCCTGACGCAGGTCTTAGTCATATGATGGCTCACAGCTGGAGCTTTTGGTCATGTGACCGAAACCTTTAGCTGGCTTACCGGTCCATTAAGGGCTTAGTTTACCTGAACATTAACTTCACTAATTATATAGTAAATTATCAGTGTATATACACTGGGTAACATACACATACAGTGTCACTGACATGTATAGTATGCAAAGTCATAGAGAAGATTATCAGAAGAGTGGTGGAGCACCTAGAAAGGAATGAGCTTAACGACAACCAGCACGGTTTCAGGGACGGGAAATACTGTGTCACAAACCTACTGGAGTTCTATGACAGAGTGACAGCAATAACACGAGAGAGGGGTGGGTAGATTACGTTTTCTTGGACTGTAAGAAGGCGTTTGACACGGTTCCACACAAGAGATTAGTGCAAAAGCTGGAGGACCAGGCAGGAATAACAGGGAAGGCACTGTAATGGATCAGGGAATACCTGTCGGGAAGACAGCGAGTAACGGTACGTGGCGTGGTGTCAGACTGGGTTCCTGTGACGAGTGGGGTTCCACAGGGGTCAGTCCTAGGACTGGCACTGTTTCTGGTATATGTGAAAGACATGACGGAAGGAACAGACTCAAGTGTCCCTGTTTGCAGATGATGTGAAGTTGATGAGAAGAATTCAGTCGGACGAGGACCAGGCAGAACTACAAAGGGATCTGGACAGGCTGCAGGCCTGGCTCACGAAATCGTAATGACACGATTGTAAACAAACCATACCACGGGTGGGGTTAGAACCCGCGATCAGAGAGTCTACAGTTTTGAGATACTCTGATCGCGGGTTCTAACCCCACCCGTGGCATTTATTTTTTTTATTTTTTTTTTGCAAGCCTGGTCCAGAAACTGGCTCCAGGAGTTCAATTCCACCAAGTGCAAAGTCATGAAGATTGGGGAAGGGCAAAGAAGACTGCAGACGAAGTACAGTGTAGGGGACCAGAGACTACAAACCTCACTCAAGGAAAAGGATCTTGGGGTAAGTATAACACCGGGAACATCTCCTGAAGCGCACATCAACCAAATAATTGCTGCAGCATACGGGCGCCTAACAAACCTACCTGGAGTCTACCTGGAGGGTATTCTGGGGATCAACACCCCCGCGGCCCGGTCCACGAAATGCTTCCATCCGCCGGGAATCGAACCCAGGTCCTCTGTGTGTGAAGCGAGAGCTTTAGCCATTCAGGAACCCTGTACACCCTGTACGTTAGGCCCATACTGGAACCCACACCTAGCTAAGCACTTAAGAAAATTAGAGAAAGTGTAAAGGTCTGGAACATGAGAAGTTAAGGAAAATCGCCCTGACGACACTGGAGGACTGGAGAGATAGAGGATTTATGATAACGACATATAAAATACTGAGAGGAATCGACAAGGTTGACAGGATTTTCCAAAGATGAGACACAGCAACAAGGGGTCACAGCTGGAAGATGAAGACTCAGATGAATCACAGGGATGTTAGGAAGTATTTCTTCAGTATGCGAGTTGAAAAGAAGTGGAATAGTCTGGGAAGTGATGTAGTGGAGGCAGGATTCATACATAGTTTTAAGAAGAGGTGTGATAAAGGTCATGGAGCAGGGAGAGTGACTTAGTAGTGGTGAGTACATCTGTGGTGGTAAATTGTAAGTATGATCTTGACTAGGTATACTTAGATTTTTTGTTAAGCACTAATGTGTTGTACATAAACAATTTACTTCGTTGCATCTTGTACACACTCGCTATGTGTGTGTGTGTGTGTGTGTGTGTGTGTGTGTGTGTGTGTGTGTGTGTGTGTGTGTGTGTGTGTGTGTGTGTGTGTGTGTGTGTGTGTGTGTGTATGGGTTGCCCGTGCATGTGTGAATGTACATTGCGTGCGTACACTGGGCTTGTCCGTACATACGCGGTGTGTGTACATTTGTCTCAGAAGATACGGGGCTTAGGTAAGTTAACAAGATAAAAAAATCATGCGAGGGATGGCATCAGCGATGAGTGTCACGGTGCGCGCGCATCTCAGCCAGGCACTGTGGCATTATCTGGCTGGCACTATCACCAGTGACTAGGGGGGTGTCACCGTACACCCATCATCCAAAGGAAAAACAAAATCACACACACCACCGTAACTCAGCAAGCAGCGGACACTGTCACGGTTGAGCGTCAATAGCAAGTGTTGCTCTCAGTGTACTGGTGTTTGTGTGGCTATTTATACCGCCCCACGTGGGGAGAATATTATTTACTGTCTCTGGTACCTGATTATCTAGCGTTCTTGAAGATATATTGAAGTTGGACAAGTGTTTTGGGAAGTGATAGTGAATTATATGCTGCTGTTGCCTCGTGCGTTTTTGTAAGGGCTAGTGAGGAGGAGGTGGGTAGTGAGGGACAGTAAACACAGGGAAGTGCAGAAGGAGGCAGAGAGAAGTAACCGGAGGCATTAACAGAAGGTAGGAAATCACAAGAGCCTACAGGAGGCAGTAGCAACAAGCAGGAGGAAGTAGGAGGTAGTAGGAGGAAGCACCACGCTGCAGCAGCAGCAGAAGCCAGGAAGAAGCAACAGAAGCCAGTAGGAGACAGCATTTGGAGGCAGGAGACTGCAGGAAGCAGCAGGAGGAAGCAGGGTAGTGTAGGAAGCAAGAGTAGGCAAGGGAGTGCAGAAGGCAGGGGGAGGAGGAGGCAGGGCAGTGTAGGAGGCAGGAGGAGGAGGAGGCAGTGCAGGAGGCAGGAGGAGGAGGAGGCAGTGCAGGAGGCAGGAGGAGGAGGAGGCAGTGCAGGAGGCAGGAGGAGGAGGAGGAGGAGGAGGAGGCAGGACAGTGCATGAATTAGCAGTAGGTGTTCAAGGAAATCTTCAGTAAGCCAGCAAGATGATCAAGGACAGACTGGAGTCGCTGAAGGCGGTGAGTACTGTGCTGTGTACTCCCCTGTTTGTACTCAATTATTTTTAGTTGCAGAGGTGGAGTAGCAGATCTTGGCTTTGTCTTTTAAATGTATGTGTGTACTCACCTGTGTATGTGTATGTGTTAGTTACCATTTGGTCCTAGGCACATGTCGACTAGACACTAGGCCTGTTGTATGTGCATGCGTGTGTGTGTGTATGTCTGTTCGTGTGTGTGTGTGTGTGTGTGTGTGTGTGTGTGTGTGTGTGTGTATACTCACCTAATTGTACTTGCAGGGGTCGAGTCATGTCTCCTGGTCCCGCCTCTTCATTGGTCGCTACTAGGTCCACACTCCCTGCACCATGAACTTTACCATACCTCTTCTTAAAGCTATGTATGGATCCTGCCTCCATTACATCTCTCTCCAGATTGTTTCGCTTCTTGACAACTCTATGACCTTAAGAAACACTTCCTAACATCCCTGTGACTCATCTGGATCTTCACCTTCCAATTGTGATCCCTTGTTGCTGTGTTCCATCTCTGGAACATTCTTTCCCTACCCACCTTGTCAGTTTCTTTCAGTATTTTATATATTATCATGTCTTCCCTATCCCTTCTGTCCAGTGTCGTCAGGTCGGTTTCCCTTAACCTTACCTCGTAAGACATACCTCTTAGCTCCAGGACTAGTTATGTTACAAACCTTTGTACTTTCTCTAATTTCATAACGTGCTTGACCAGGTGTGGATTCCAAACTGGTTATTATAATAATTATAATCATAGGGGAGCGCTAAACCCGTAGGATTATATAGCGCACATGGGAGGGGGAATGGAAGGTATTCAGGCTCAATTCAGGGAACTGGAGCATAGATTCAATTCCCTAGATCAAGAGCCCCTCACCAGCGTCAAGGAACCTCCCTTGAGGGGCTCCAAACTGGTGTTGCATACTCCAATATGGGCCTAACGTACACGGTGTCCAGGGTCGTGAATGACTCCTTATTAAGATGTCGGAATGCTGTTCTGAGGTTTGCTAGGCGCCCATATGCTGCAGCAGTTATTTGGTTGATGTGAGCTTCAGGAGATGTGCCTGGTGTTATATTCACCCAAGATCTTTTTTCTTGAGTGAGGTTTGTAGTCTCTGGCCCCCCTAGACTGTACTCCGTCTGCGGTCTTCTTTGGCCTTCCCCAATCTTCATGACTTTGCACTTGGTGGGGTTGAACTCCAGGAGTCAATTGCTGGACCAGGTCTGCAGCCTGTCCAGATCCCTTTGTAGTTCTGCCTGGTCTTCGATCGAATGAATTCGTCTCATCAACTTCACGTCATCTGCAAACAGGGACACTTCGGAGTCTTTTCCTTCCGTCATGTCGTTCACAAATACCAGAAACAGCACTGGTCCTAGGATTGACCCCTGTGGGACCCCGATGGTCACAGGTGCCCACTCTGACACCTCGCCACGTACCATGACTCGCTGCTGTCTTCCTGACAAGTATTCCCTGATCCATTGTAGTGCCTTCCCTGTTATCCCTACTTGGTCCTCCAGTTTTTGCACTAATCTCTTGTGTGGAACTGTGCCAAACGCCTTCTTGCAGTCCAAGAAAATGTAATCCACCCACTCCTCTCTATCTTGTCTTACTGCTGTCACCATGTCATAGAACTCCAGTAGGTTTGTGACACAGGATTTCCCGTCCCTGAAACCATGTTTCCTGCTGTTAATGAGATTATTCCTTTCTAGGTTTTCCACCACTCTTCTGATAATATTCTCCATGACTTTGCATACTATACACGTCAGTGACACTGGTTTGTAGTTTAGTGCTTCATGTCTGTCTCCTTTTTTTAAAGATTGGGACTACATTTGCTGTTTTCCATGCCTCAGGCAATCTCCCTGTTTCGATATATGTATTGAATATTGTTGTTAGGGGTACACATAGCGCCTCTGCTCCCTCTCTCAGGACCCATAGAGAGATGTTATCCGGCCCCATTGTCTTTGAGGTATCTAGCTCACTCAGAAGCCTCTCCGTCTTTCTGGAGCCCCTTCTGTTTCCTCTGTGAACACTTCTTTGAATCTCTTGAGTTCCTCACATACTTCACGGTCATTTTTTGTTGTCTCTCCTCCGTCCTTCCTTAGCCTGATTACTTGGTCCTTGACTGTTGTTTTCCTCCTGATGTGGCTGTAACAGTTTTGGGTCAGATTTGGCTTTCTCTGCTATGTCATTTTCATATTGTCCTTGGGCCTCCCTTCTTATCTGTGCATATTCATTTCTGGCTCTACGATTGCTCTTCTTATTCTCCTGGGTCCTTTGCCTTCTATATTTCTTCCATTCCCTAGCACACTTGGTTTTTGCCTCCCTGCACCTTTGGGTGAACCATGGGCTCATCCTGGCTTTTTCATTAATCCTGTTACCCTTGGGTACAAACCTTTCCTCAGCCTCCTTGCACATTGTTGCTACATATTCCATCATCTCATTAACTGGCTTCCCTGCCAGTTCTCTGTCCCACTGAACCCCGTTCAGGAAGTTCCTCATTCCCGTGTAGTTTGGCTTCATTCGTCCTGGCCTTCCTGCTTCCCCCTCCACTTGTAGCTCTACTGTGTATTCGAAGCTCAAAATCACATGACCGCTGGCCCCCAAGGGGTCTTTCATATGTGATGTCCTCAATATCTGCACTACTCAAGGTGAATACTAAGTCCAGTCTTGCTGGTTCATCCTCTCCTCTCTCTTGTAGTGTCCCTTACGTGTTGGTACATGAAGTTTTCCAGTACCACCTCCATCATTTTAGCCCTCCATGTGTCTTGGCCCCCATGTGGCTCCAAGTTTTCCCAATCGATCTCCTTGTGGTGTGTGTGTGTGTGTGTATGTGTGTACTCACCTAGCTGTACTCGCCTAGTTGTGGTTGCAGGGGCTGATTCACAGCTCCTGGCCCCGCCTCTTCAATGGCCGCTACTGGGTCACTCTTCCTGCTCCATGAGCTTTATCATACCTCTTAAAGCTATGTATGGATCCTGCCTCCACTACTTCACTTCCCAGACTATTCCACTTCCTGACAACTCTGACTGAAGAAATACTTCCTAACATCCCTGTGATTCGTCTGAGTCTTCAACTTCCAACTGTGACCCCTTGTTGTTCTTTTCTGTGTGTGTGTGTGTGTGTGTGTGTACGTGTATATATTTGTGTGTGTGTGTGTGCTCGCGCGAGCGCAGGATATGTTCATATGATAAGGAGACACTGTGAACAGCAACACATGACACTAATGCTTTACTCACACAAAAACAAAATTCTTGAGCACAAGACGTCACTCTCATCCAATACCAATACAATATCATATATATATATATATATATATATATATATATATATATATATATATATATATATATATATATATATATTTGTGGCGCGGTGGGATTGTTTCGAATTCTTGCTCTGGCAGTATATTCTTTGTTTTAAAACCACTTGCTTAAAATATAAATTGATTTAATAAGCCTCAGTAACTGCAGCTTGTCTAGTTAGTAGTTATTACTTGCTTGTTTATATTTAACTGAGTCATACGTAAACAAGAGCAGCTGCCTCGTCTCTCTGATGGTTCATGTTTACTAAACGTTTGAACTCTTACTGTTATCATGCTCATACCTTAGTGTTATGATCACACTGTTATCCACGACCCTAACACAGTTTGGCATGAACACACTTATCACGACCCTAACACAGTTTGGCATGAACACACTTACCACGACCTTAACACAGTTTGGCATGAACACAGTTATGCCCATAACACAGTGTTACATAACATCATTATCATGTTCGTAATATATAATATCAGTGTTATCTTGCTGGATGAGCCACTTTCAGTGGTGACAACATACACTGTAGTGGTGCAAAGAACATTTCAGAATGTCTTCAGTCCCAGCGTGGTCTGAAAGTGGAGTGACGTCAATTAAAGTAGTTTTGAAGGCTGACTTCGTACACACTTTTATAAGTATATAAGACAGGGCCCACAAGGCTAGGAGGGGCGTGAATCTGGCACGCTGCAAGTTGAGAGGGGGGGGGCCAAGAGCTGGGACTCGACTCCTGCAATCACATGTAGGTGAGCACATATTCAACAGAGACGACATTAACGTGGTGGTGCACGGAACGTTTCAGTGTAAGAGAAACACTGGCTCCTCTACTATGTTGGTCAATTTTGGCTCTTGCTTCATACATAGATTTGAAGGTCAGCACTGAGTCAGTTATCCCTTGCTCTGCTGTGAAACGTTTTAGTGAGTAAATTCTTAAACACCAGCGCCCGTTGGAACTGGGCGTGTTTATCCTGATGCCAGAACATACGTGATCGTGGAGCCTCAGAGACTAATTCAACTTCATCCTGTTTGTTAGTGATTTAGAATCATATTTTTCTTGATTTCATTAATATATAGATTGCTCGTGAAGTCTGGTACCCAAACAGGATGAGGTTGAAATTAGTTTCTGAGGATCCACGACCACGTATGCTCTCGTACCAGAGAAAACACGTCCAGTGGAACTGGGCGTGTTTAACAGAACTGGGGCTAGCCAGGATATATTATATATATATATTATATATATATATATATATATATATATATATATATATATATATATATATTATATATATATATAATATATATATACACACCTTAATCTAATCACGTTCACTTATGGAAGGAGCACGGCATCTGACCTAGTAGCACAAGCTGGTCAGGTCAAACTGACACCCACCCACACCTACATATGTACTTATCTAACCTATTTTTAAAACTACACAACGTCTTAGCCTCTATGACTGTATTCGGGAGTTTGTTTTTCACTCATCCACAACTCTTATCAAACCAGTGCTTTCCTATATCCTTCCTGAATCTGAATTTTTCCACCTTAAAGCCATTGCTGCGAGTCCTGTCTAGGCTGGACACTTTTAGCATGTGTTTATATATTTGTGTATATGTGTATGTATGGCTGTATGTATCCTGTCACAAGATGCATCAGCCATTAAAAATTGAAACAGTTTGAAAGAGGTGTATACTCAAGTATATTTAACGTGATTTAACTGGATTAAAAAAAAGGTATACTATTTTACGCATCAGTGTGTAACTACACATTTCAGCTACACTCTGTCCCTTCATGGAAATAGGATACACCTATCTTTAAATAGGTTATATAGCTCTGATTATGATGGATCTACACATGTCAGTTGTCGCATTAACAATTCCCTCGGTATAATAAGCCATATTGAAAGGTTAAAGCCGATCGGATGAGGTATTCTCTAGTTACAAACGAAGGTGTAGAGGAATAAAAAAAAAGAGGAGGAAAAAAAAGGAAGGGATAAAAAGAAGAGAAAAAAATCAGTCAGATATTTAAAGAATTCCTTCGAGGATGCCTAAACACACAAACAAGACACGTGGGTAGTAGAAAGTATTTCTGGACTCAGAGAATGTTAAATACGTGGAATAAGTTAAGCAATGATACAGTAAGTCAACTTAAGTGGTTCAAAGAAGGGCATGGTAAGGTTGCGTTACCTCAGTCGATCTTAAGTTTAGAGGCAGGAGCAAGTATTATGATTGTACTTGTGCAGGTCCGCGTAAGTACTGTTATCATACACAATATATGTGAAAATTACCTAGGATAACCCCCCCCCCCAAAAAAAAAAAAAAAAACGAAACGAAAGGATTTATCTCCATTTTGGCTCCCTACTCTATATCTGCACACTAACAGGTAATTATATATAGGTAATTACGCACACACAAGGGAATAAAATATCTTTAGTCGTAACATTATCATTTCTTTTGTTCCAGGCTCGGGGTGAGGATGACGGTGTTGGTCCGCAAGTGGGCGGTGAGGTTACACTGGAGATGGAACGAGAGGACCTGGGTGACATGGATGCCTTCTTCAAGGAGGTCAGTTGGTGCCTCTTTCTTTTCTCCTCTTTTTCTAGTCTCCCTCTCTCTCTCTCTCTCTCCCCCTCTCTCCCACCCTTTTTCCCTCTCGCTGCCAGACCTCCCTTCGGCAGTTTTGTAAGAGTTACACCATTTCGAATGACCTAAGCAGTCGAGAGAAGTGCCAAAGGAGTAATATGGAACAACCAGTAGGAAATCCCCAGGATTGGAAGCCTGTTCTTGCAAAAGGCGAGACTTGCCTTCCCTGGATGCATTCTCAAGCATATTAACTCCCCACAGAGAGGCTCAATGGAACGATTAGTAATTATTATTATCAAAACTAAGCGCTAAACCTACAAGGGTCATACAGCGCTGAAGGGTGGGATGTGCTGAAGGGATATACGAAGCTCAGAGAGCAGTGAGTGTTAGAGAGGCGGGGTTTGCAATGGCGGAGTATTTTTCCTAAATAACAAAAAGGCAGAATACTGTGACTGGAGCAATACAAAGATAACCCCCTTCCCCCCCCCCCCACATTGGAGAGAGGGGCTTACGACGATGTTTCGGTCCGACTTGGACTAAAACGTCGTCGTAAGAAGCTCTCTTATGTGTGGGTTGTGTAATGTATTTCCTCAAGGCTATGCTTAAGGTCTATTAATTACATAAATAACATGTAAATGAGAAAACTCTAGTTAAAAAATGCTAAATGAAAACCACTATACAAGTTTACTTAAAAATTATTTACCAAATTAGCAAAAAATTAAGACTCATTGCAGCTAAATAAATTCGGTAAATATTGTAATAATGCATGAATTATGTTAACACTGTTGTCTGACAATAATCTTATATTTAATTACCTTGGAATCTCATTTGACTATCTGCGTCAACAACTAATATACTGAGAGGAATGTGTGTAGCAGTTGCTGAGAGACACTGAGGACACAGCCAGCTGAGTGTGACTGGCTGACTGGAGCTGAGTGGTGAGGAACACTCACCACTCCCACACTAACTACCTAGTTAACACTTTCCATTACTATCAAACCAACATTTAGCACAAATTATGATTAAAATAATAAATGAAATCAACACTAAAAGTCAATCATGGTACAGTTTATGTAAGGCAACATGTGTGGCTATTTGTTACATAGTATGAAAGTGAAGGTGACTTTACTGTTGATTAATTAAACTACCAATTGGCATACCACTTTCCTACCTGGTGATACTAATGCTATACATCAATAACAGTTGATGTTAACAAGTCGTATGTGACTACCTTAGATATCCTACTGTACGAGTATGCTGGCTTATATCATAGCAAGGATATCCAACTGCTGTGCTCTCTCAATTCAATGTTTATTTTTAATTCCAACAATCTTAAGTGCTGAGGGAGTAGCTGTTCCCACTACCTCGCCTGATGTATACACGAACATAGGAATGCAGGTAATGTTATCGCTGATGCCTCACGAGCTCCTGTCCCACCAGTCTTGATATCGTTCATAATCTTTTAATGAAAGACTGAGTGCTTTAATAAATAATGTCTTCTGGAGTTCGATGTATTAACTAGGTTTTCGACTCTCAAAGAAAGGTGCACACCTCGGGAAGTAAGTTAGCCTGGGCTGGGTCAGGTACCTTGCGAGGAGATACAAAATATCGTGGGCTTCCAACTTGATTATTCTCCGTTCCGTCTTTTTCAGGTCATTCAGAATTTCTATCGAGGAATCACTTAATAGCCCAGAGGGACACGGCGGTGTTCCCAGCATGATAGTGCAACCATTATTAGCTAATTTCATAGATTTGTTTTAAGATCTTAGTGGCATTTTTCTGTATTGCTATCATTTCTAATTCTTGTTCTTACTAGCAGTTTTAGCAACACTGTAATTGATAAATTAGACACATGTGCAACTCTTGGGTATCTTTATTGAGGAAACGTTTCGCCACACAGTGGCTTCATCAGTCCATACATAGGAGAAACTTGAAGAACAGGAGGAGAATGAGGTAATCATCCCTCAACCTTGAGTCGATGTGTTCAGTCCATCAATCTTGAGTAGAATACGGCATATGAGCGGAGAAGCAGCTTATAAACCGTATGGTAGGAGAGGTGCAGCAGTCATAGTTGGTGTCACATTTGTTCAATGTGGAAGTAGGTTGTGCCCAAGAATTAGGCAAGCGAAGAATTCCTAAGTATTAAGATCCCAAGAAGCTGCAGTGTCTGACAGGTTTGTAGATGAAGTTTCTCCTATGTATGGACTGATGAAGCCACTGTGTGGCGAAACGTTTCCTCAATAAAGATACCCAAGAGTTGCACATGTGTCTAATTTATCAACATGTCGGTTCTCTGAACCATTCATCTACAACACTGTAATTATTAAGTAATTAGTTATATGGTATGTAATGTTTCAACAGGTGGAGATGATCCGGGAAATGATAGAGAAAATCAACACCAACGTTGATAGTGTCAGGCAGCAACACAGTGTGATCCTCTCCTCATCTCAACCAGATGAAGGTCAGTGTGATGCTGCTGTAATGTTAGTAATGCTGCTGTAATGTTAGTAATGCTGCTGTAATGTTAGTAATGCTGCTGTAATGTTAGTAATGCTGCTGTAATGTTAGTAATGCTGCTGTAATGTTAGTGATGCTGCTGTAATGTTAGTAATGCTGCTGAATGTATATGCTGTTAAGTTTATGATGCTGCTGTATGTTAGTAATGCTGCTGTAATGTTTAGTAATGCTGCTGTAATGTTAGTAATGCTGCTGTAATGTTATATGCTGCTGTAATGTTAATGTAATGCTGCTGTAATTTTAGTATGCTGCTGTAATGTTATAATGCTGCTGTAATGTTAGTATGCTGCTGTAATGTTAATGATGCTGCTGTAATGTTAGTAATGCTGTGTAATGTTATGATGCTGCTGTAATGTTAGTAATGCTGTTGTAATGTTAATGATGCTGCTGTAATGTTAATGATGCTGCTGTAATGTTAATGATGCTGCTGTAATCTTAGTGATGCTGCTGTAATGTTAATGATGCTGCTGTAATGTTAATGATGCTGCTGTAATGTTAATAATGCTGCTGTAATCTTAGTGATGCTGCTGTAATGTTATGATGCTGCTGTAATGTTAGTGATGCTGCTGTAATGTTATGATGCTGCGTAATGTAATATGCGTGTAATGTTATGATGCTGCTGTAATGTTAGTGATGCTGCTGTAATGTTAGATGAATTGCTGCTGTAATGTTAGTAATGCTGCTGTAATGTTAGTAAATGCTGCTGTAATGTTAGTGATGCTGCTGTAATGTTATGATGCTGCTGTAATGTTAAGTAATGCTGCTGTAATGTTAGTATGCTGCTGTAATGTTAGTGATGCTGCTGTAATGTTAGTGATGCTGCTGTAATGTTAATGTAATGCTGCTGTAATGTTATGATGCTGTGAATTATATGCTGTTAATGTTATGATGCTGCTGTAATGTTAGTGATGCTGCTGTAATGTTAAGATGCTGCTGTAATGTTATGATGCTGCTGTAATTTTAAAGTGATGCTGCTGTAATGTTAGTGATGCTGCTGTAATGTTATGATGCTGCTGTATGTAATCTGCTGTATGTTATGATGCTGCTGTAATGTTAGTATGCTGCTGTAATGTTAGTGATGCTGCTGTAATGTTAAGTGATGCTGCTGTAATGTTAATGATGCTGCTGTAATGTTTAATGATGCTGCTGGTAATGTTAATGATGCTGCTGTATGTAATGCTGTTAATGTATGATGCTGTGTAATGTTAGATGCTGCTGTAATGTTATAGATGCTGCTGTAATGTTATAATGCTGCTGTAATGTTAATGCTGCTGTAATGTTAGATGCTGTTGTAATGTTAATGATGCTCTGTAGTTGTAATTGTTTAATGTTATGATGCTGTGTAATGTTATGATGCTGCTGTAATGTTAGTAATGCTGTAATGTTAGATATTTTGTGCTGTAATGTTATGATGCTGCGTGTAATGTTATGTATGTGTTGTAATGTAGTAATGCTGCTGTGTAATGTTAATGATGCTGCTTGTAATGTTAATGATGCTGTTGTAATGTTAATGATGCTGCTGTAATGTTAATGATGCTGTTGTAATGTTATGATGCTGCTGTAATCTTAGTGATGCTGCTGTAATGTTATGAATGCTGCTGTAATGTTAATGATGCTGTTGTAATGTTAATGATGCTGTGTAATGTTATGATGCTGCTTGTAATGTTAATGATGCTGCTGTAATGTTAGTGATGCTGCTGTAATGTTATGATGCTGCTGTAATGTTAATATGCTGCTGTAATGTTATGATGCTGCTGTATGTTAGTAATGGCTGCTGTAATGTTAGTATGCTGCTGTAATGTTATGATGCTGCTGTAATGTTATAATGCTGCTGTAATGTTATGATGCTGCTGTAATGTTATGATGCTGCTGTAATGTTAATGATGCTGTTGTAATGTTAGATGCTGCTGTAATGTTAGTGATGCTGCTGTAATGTTAGTGATGCTGCTGTAATGTTATGATTGCTGTTGTAATGTTAATGAATGCTGCTTGTAATGTTAGTGATGCTGCTGTAATGTTAATGATGCTGCTGTAATGTTAGTGATTGCTGTTGTAATGTTATAGATCTGTTGTAATGTTAGTGATGCTGCTGTAATGTTAGTGATGCTGCTGTAATGTTATGATGCTGCTGTAATGTTAATGATTCTGTTGTAATGTTATGATGCTGCTGTAATGTTAGTATGATGCTGTATGTAGTATGTGCTGTAATTATAATGCTGCTGTAATGTTAATGATGCTGCTGTAATGTTATGATGCTGTGTAATGTTAGTGATGCTGCTTGTAATGTTAAGTGATGCTGCTGTAATGTTAGTGATGCTGCTGTAATGTTAGTGATGCTGCTGTAATGTTAGTGATGCTGCTGTAATGTTAGTGATGCTGCTGTAATGTTAGTGATGCTGCTGTAATGTTAGTAATGCTGCTGTAATGTTAGTGATGCTGCTGTAATGTTAGTAATGCTGCTGTAATGTTAGTGATGCTGCTGTAATGTTAGTGATGCTGCTGTAATGTTAGTGATGCTGCTGTAATGTTAGTGATGCTGCTGTAATGTTAGTAATGCTGCTGTAATGTTAGTGATGCTGCTGTAATGTTAGTGATGCTGCTGTAATGTTAGTGATGCTGCTGTAATGTTAATGATGCTGCTGTAATCTTAGTGATGCTGCTGTAATGTTAATGATGCTGCTGTAATGTTAATGATGCTGCTGTAATGTTAATGATGCTGCTGTAATCTTAGTGATGCTGCTGTAATGTTAATGATGCTGCTGTAATGTTAGTGATGCTGCTGTAATGTTAATGATGCTGCTGTAATGTTAATGATGCTGCTGTAATGTTAGTGATGCTGCTGTAATGTTAATGATGCTGCTGTAATGTTAATGATGCTGCTGTAATGTTAGTAATGCTGCTGTAATGTTAGTGATGCTGTTGTAATGTTAGTGATGCTGCTGTAATGTTAGTAATGCTGCTGTAATGTTAGTGATGCTGTTGTAATGTTAGTAATGCTGCTGTAATCTTAGTGATGCTGCTGTAATCTTAGTGATGCTGCTGTAATCTTAGTGATGCTGCTGTAATGTTAGTGATGTTTATGGCGGAAATATTTATACATTTAGGATGATAGAGAGGTGAATTATCAACTAATTTTACTCTAGCTTTACTTAAGTGAATTGTTAGCTAATTATTTTGCAATGAAGAATTATTAACAAATCATGTTAAGCAATGTAGAGATGAATTATTAACTACGTTTGTGTGTCTCAGAAATCAATTATTGGCTAATTATGTTACTGTGTTAAGGAGGTTATTTATTGACTTCTCCAGTAATCACATTACTGTGCTACAGAGGTCAGTTAATTAATTATCTTACTCTTACAGAGGTGAAACAGAAACTGGACGACCTCATGGCAGACATTAAAGTTACAAGCGTCAAAATTAGAAGCAAACTAAAAGGTGTGTAATTGTCTGCTCATGTTTGTCTAAGTGGTATTGATCAATAACAACACTGCACTAGCCAAGGAGTCGAACCCACGCTGTTTTGGCCAGCCTCATGGTTCATTCATTAGAGATTCGCCGGTACTTCCTGCCCGGGTCTTCTCCATATGGCGACCCGGCTGCCTCATGGCGAAAGAATACGCATGACGCTTTAGACCACACAGTCCTTGGATTGTGCGTGTGTGTGTGTGTGTGAGAGAGAGAGAGAGAGAGAGAGAGAGAGAGAGAGAGAGCAATGAGGGTTGGTCTCTTCTCTCATGGTAAAAATACATAGCAAGAAACAGTGACTGCGGACATTGTATTACAAACAATAATGTCTGTGAATGTTTATTTCCCTCAGGAAGCGACGGTGATGTCCGCCAGTGATGAGGAACTGGCAGTCAGGTTTACCTCTCTCTTCCTACTTTCATTCTTTCCTTTCTTCTTGTTTTTTTTTTCCATTTCTTCTTGTTCTTCTCTTGACTTTCCTGTTGAGCTGTTTTTCAACTTTTTATTTTACGCCATTAATTTATTTACTTGTTCTTCTCTTCTTATTTGTTGTTGATGTTATTCTTCTAATTTTCTTCTAATATTGCTTCTTCTTACTTCTACTTGTTGTTCTTCTTCTTCTTCCTTTTTAGTATTCAATACAAAGAAAAATAAGAAACATAACATTTACATTTATACATATTATTAATTATTATTATTATTATCATCAATCATCATCAAAATATTCACTATACATTATAATTATAGGTTTGGAACAGATGATCGGAGGGACAGATAGCCGTGCAAACAATGCCAGTCAGAGGATGAAGCGTAGCCAGCATTCCACCCTCACCCGTCTCTTCTGCGAGGCCATGTCTCGCTACAATACCATCCAGTCAGAGTATCGAGACCGCTGTAAGAACAGGATACAGCGGCAGCTTGAGATCAGTGAGTACAGCCGTGGCTTTGATAGCAGCTACGTGTGATAGCAGTCGTGTGAGATAACAACCATGTGTGATAACAGTCCTGTAAGATAACAACCATGTAAGCAGTGACCATTGTTTGTTTTGTATGAGTATGGTTGTTTTATTTTGTTGAATACAGTGGAGAAACTGTGGAAGAAACTAACTTGCTATGTAACATGCACGATACATAGCTTGGTCATGTAGAGAGAATAGATGAAAATAGGTTGATAAAGAAGGTGCATATGTGTGGGGTAGAAGGAATGAGGTATAGGGGATGTACGTGAAGGTCAGGTATAGGTGAAATAGGTTAGTCAGGATAACTATAGTGAAAAAGCCTTCCAACCCCGGCCCAAGATATCTTGTTGCTTGGTGATTTTAGTCTAAGACATACAAAATGGAAGAATGTAGATATTGTTATAGCAGAGACAGTCTCTGAAGGCAGCTTAGATGTAAATATGTAGAGTTGCTGAATCTCTGTAATAAATACATCTTAAGTCAGCAGATAGTGGGGCCAGAAAGACTGGGAAATACACTTGACCTTATTTTCACAAATAATGATGATCCGGTAAGAAACATAACAATATCAAAAACAACTATTTCGAATCATCATCTAACTAAAGTTCAGACTTAATTGCACAGGGGACCTGACGAGCAAAATGCATACAGCTACGAGGGTTCCTTCACCAATTCAACTTCAACAACAAGAATATCAACTTGGATCAGGGAAACTATGTTCTAAACATAGGATGCTGGGAAGATATCTTAAATAACATGAATTGAAAGCAGTACCTTGAAACGATCAACTTTCTTGCAGCTGAAGTATGCTTAAGGCATATTCCCCTAAGAAAAAAAGAAGAGAAGAAATGCACTGGAGAGAGAGAGAGAGAGAGAGAGTCGCTCCCTCTACAGGAGAAGGCTAAGAATCACAGAGTTCCTCAAGGGGGGTTAGATTATTTGATATACAGAAGGAAGAACTGTCTAAGGAAGTGAAAAATATTGAGCTTAAGTTCGTACAGGGTCCAGCAGAAACAGGAGGAGGTAAAAGCAAATAGTGAAATCAAAAGAAATTCAAAATATTTCTTTTCATATATCAAAAGCAAGGCAAGAACCACATCCAGTATCGTGTCCTTGCTCAGACAAACTGTAACTTACGCAGATAACAACAAAGAAGTGGGTGAGATACTGAAGTCTCAATAAGACTCTGTGTTTAGCGAGTCATTAATCAGTCTAAAGATTGACAATCCAAATGATTTTTTCATGAATGAGCTTCAAAACCCCTTTCAATGTATGTCAAATTTCTGACATAACCCTAACTCCAATGGACTTTGAAAATGCCATTGACAACATACCCATGCACTCAGTCCCAGACCCAGACTCGCGGAACTCTGTGTTCATAAGAACTGCAAGAAACCCTTTTCGCATGCCTTAATTATGCTTTGGAGAGGGAGCATAGACGCGGGTGTAATCCCACAGTCACTAAGAACAACGGATATAACCCCACTTTATAAAGGTGGCAGCAAAGCAATAGCTAATAACTATAGACCAATAGCTCTAACATCCCACATCATAAAAATCTTTGAAAGAGTTCTAAGAAGTATGATAGCAAACCGCTTGGATTCCCAACAGTTGCACAGTCCAGGGCAACATGGGCTTGGTGCAGATCGATCTTTTCTCTTGCAACTACTGGATCACTATGATATGGTCTTGGATGCTCTGGAAGACAAACAGAATGCAGATATAGTATACACAAATTTTGCGAAATCCCTTGACAAGTGCAATCATGGTGTATTAGCGCACAAAATGTGTGCTAAAGGGATAACTGGTAAAGTGAGAAGATGGATCTTCAACTTTCCGACCAATCGAACACAAAGAGTAGTGGTAAATAGAGTTAAGTCGGAGGTTGCCACAGTGAAAAGCTCTGTTCCATAAGGCACAGTACTCGCCCCCATCCTGCTCCTCATTCTCATATTAGACAAAGACAGAGATATAAACCATAGCACCGTGTCATCCTGTGCAGACGATACTAGAATCTGTCATCCACTTAGGACACGTAAATTTCCAAAGCAGATATAAACCTAGTGTTCCAATGGGCAACGGAAAACAATATGATGTTCAATGATGACTAATTTCATCTACTCCGTTATGGAAAACTGGAGGAAATAATTCGAACAAGTATAACTACAACTCTAATCACGCAATGACGATAAACATGTAAAGGCTTAGGAGTGTTAATGTCACAGATATCCTTCAGGACAAACAGTGTCACTATACATCCGTGGGGAATGGAAGATGGATCATGAACCTTCAATCACAAGGATGCAAGCATGATGATTTTTAAAGACTTGGTTTATTCTAGGCTGGATATTGCTGTACCTAAGAGCTCACTAAGGCTGGTGAAAATCGTAGATATGGAGAAGCGCAAAGGATACCTTTATGCAGTAAGTCCGTTCAAAACCTTACTGAAGTCTGACTGTACTCACGAGCAGCACAGGCGAGAGATACTATATTTTAACACTGGAATGCTCCTAGAGGACTGGTCCAAATTTGCACAGAAATCACTCCACTACGAAGCAAAGACAGCAGCGTGCAACATCTCCAATGGAAAGTGGGGACCATTTGTACCATATGGGTCCCAAGACTATTACAAGCGCCTCAAACTATGCAAGGGGACGTTACAATACACCATGATCTTCTTCAAGAGGGCTGAACAGATACTTAAAGTCAGTGTCGGATCAACCGGGCTGTGGTCCGTATGTTGGACTACGTGCGGCCAGCAGTAACAGCCTGGTTGATCAGGCATTGATCCACCGGGAGGCCTGGTCAAGAACTGGGCCACGGGGGTATTGACCCCCGGAACACCCTCCAGGTAGGTCCTCTAAGAACATTAACGAGAAGTCAGGTAAGAAGTATTTATAGGAACGTGTGCATTCCTGAAGTATGAGTCACTCATTGATGTAACTGATGTCACTGGTTGGAAGGTTTTGAAATGTTTGGAACATGGAGAGTGTGTTGTCAGTGTTTGGAATGTGGAGATTGTGTTGTCAATGTTTGGAATGTGGAGATTGTGTGGCCAGTGGCCTGACATGCTCGGAATTTCCTCATTCTTAGACACTTTTTATTATCTACGTATAACCAAGAATTAAAATTAGCAATAAAAACGATGGTTGTGTACTGTATATGAGACTCGGCATTTGAGAAAATAAAAATATTAAATATAATCAAAATTCTGTATATAAGATACATGAAATGCAAAAGAATCATTATAAAATTTCCATACAATTATTATATAGGGTTAGGAAAAGCATAAGAAAAAATGACACGTTGAAGCAGCACGATAAAATGTATTTATAATACTGGGTTGTTTTAAGGAATATTAATAATCGTGTTAAAAATATCTAGCCAAGACAGGACTCGTAGCAAAGGTTTTAAGGTGGAAAAATTCAGATTCAGGAAGGATATAAGAAAGCACTGGTTTGGTAAGAGTTGTGGATGAGTGGAACAAACTCCCGAGTACCGTCATAGAAGCTAAACGTTGTGTAGTTTTAAAAATAGGTTAGATCAGTAAGTGTCTAGTGTACTGTCTGTGAATCTGAACTAAGATATCCTCCTTTGAACAACTTTACCAGCAGCTTAAGGAGGAGCTTAGAGTAAGTAAGCTCGAAATACAGTCACTTTCTTTACATTCCTTCCTTTCACTCTTGATTGAAAATCTTTCGTTTCCCCTCTTGATACTCTCATCACCTTCCTCTTTTCTCTGTTCACTTTCAGTTTCATTATTTTACAACAATAAGGCATAATCTGCAAATAGCAACTGTGACAGCTCCAATGTATCTCTATTTAAATGTCAACCTTATTTATTTTATTCTTGTACGAGTTAATGTGTTCATACTGAGATTTTTTCATATCAAAATTTTAATGCATATTTTTGTAACTTTTTTGTACGCTTATTCAACGCGTTTCTGTGTATCTCCTCGCCACGCGACACGTATATCCATGGAAAACGTCTATCCACGTATTACCATGTATCTCCACGCATCTAACGTCCACCTATCTCCTGGACCCCCACGTATCATGTGGGCAACACGCAGCTGGGTGCAAGAAAACAGACGAGGAGCTGGAGGAGATGTTGGAGACGGGCAATGTTGAGGTCTTCACACAAGGGGTAAGACCACAACACCTTGTCACAGGTCTTGTTTATCTTATGTTTATATTGATGTTGTTTTATGTATTTTCTGTCTAAAGTCTCAACACCTACGACCACACCACTATTGTCAACACCTGCGACCACACCACTATTGTCAACACCTGCGACCACGCCACTATTGTCAACACCTAAGACCACACCACTATTGTCAACACCTAAGACCACACCACTATTGTCAACACCTGCGACCACGCCACTATTGTCAACACCTGCGACCACACCACAACGCTCAACACCACACGACACTTACACCGAGTATAAAGCAGTATGTACAGAGCAAACCTCTGTTTACAGACAATGTATAGCAATGTATTGCAGACACTGTATTTTAGGCTGTAAATTGTTGCAGACTCGGTATTGTAGGCTGTAAATTGTTGCAGACTTGGTAATGTAGGCTGTAAATTGTTGCAGACTCTGTATTATGACTTCTAAGTCTTTCAACTTACATCTGACCTTCAGATCATCATGGAGACACAGCAGGCAAGGCAGAGACTGGCAGACATCGAAGCCAGACATGCAGACATAGTGAAACTGGAGACATCTATCAGAGACTGCATGATTTGTTCATGGAGATGGCTATCCTAGTGGAGTCTCAGGTGGGTAGACTCATCCTATGTTAGGCAATGTTAAGCTATGTTATGTTAGGCAGTATTAAACTATATCGTCTTAGGCAGTATTTTGTTAGTCTAGGTCAGTATTTACCAAGATAATTTGCTATGTTAATCTTGAACAAAATTCACGACTGTGTCAAGAGTGTGACAGCTAATCCCACAGCGATCATACAGAGCCTGGGGGGAGGGGGAGGGTAATGTGGTTTGATCCAAAGGAAGGGGAGGGTTGTTCTAATTCCTTTGATCAAGAACCCATCACTATTATCAAGGGAACAGTACAATAACCTGAGGGTAAACAATGGTTTAAGTTAGTAAGTGTCGACTCAAAGATATTTTTAAGCCGGGAAGATATCTAACCCAGAGACTCAAGATAAGTTGTAGTGAACGACTGGTTATTCATGTTAAACTATTCATGTTAAACCTAATTAAGGTTTGTATAAATAACTCATTACGATTGTGATCAGATATAAACTTGTAAATAGTATATAACTTTGTACCTTGTTCAGCTATCATAATGTTGAGGTGCAGTCCCTGGACCCATTATGTACCTCTGTAATGTTGAGGTGCAGTCCCTGGACCCAATATGTACCTCTGTAATGTTGAGGTGCAGTCCCTAGACCCATTATGTACCCCTGTAATGTTGAGGTGCAGTCCCTGGACCCGTTATGTACCCCTGTAATGTTGAAATGCAGTCCCTGGACCCATTATGTACCCCTGTAATGTTGAGGTACAGTCCCTGGACCCATTATGTATCCCTGTATGTTGAGGTACAGTCCCTGACCATTATGTACCCTGTAATGTTGAGGTACAGTCCCTGGACCCATTATGTACCCCTGTAATGTTGAGGTACAGTCCCTGGATCCATTATGTACCCCTGTAATGTTGAGGTGCAGTCCCTGGACCCATTATGTACCCCTGTAATGTTGAGGTGCAGTCTCTGGACCCATTATGTACCCCTGTAATGTTGAGGTGCAGTCCTGGACCCATTATGACCCCTGTATGTTGAGGTGCAGTCCCTGGACTATTATGTACCCTGTAATGTTGAGGTGCAGTCCCTGGACCCATTATGTACCTCTGTAATCCTTTGACTACCGCCCACAGGATGAACATGGGGTGCATAATAAAGATGTTAAACTAACTATTCACATTTCCCGCACGTTTCACTCACAGGGGGGATTTATACAGCCACACTGTGGGGTGGGGCTTTATACAGCCACACTGTGAGTGGGGCTTTATACAGCCACACTGTGAGTGGGGCTTTATACAGCCACACTGTGAGTGGGGCTTTATACAGCCACACTGTGAGTGGGGCTTTATACAGCCACACTGTGAGTGGGGCTTTATACAGCCACACTGTGAGTGGGGCTTTATACAGCCACACTGTGAGTGGGGCTTTATACAGCCACACTGTGAGTGGGGCTTTATACAGCCACACTGTGAGTGGGGCTTTATACAGCCACACTGTGAGTGGGGCTTTATACAGCCACACTGTGAGTGGGGCTTTATACAGCCACACTGTGAGTGGGGCTTTATACAGCCACACTGTGAGTGGGGCTTTATACAGCCACACTGTGAGTGGGGCTTTATACAGCCACACTGTGAGTGGGGCTTTATACAGCCACACTCGAATGAAGTCATAAAGTACCTTTCCCTACTTGAAGAGTCTTGAACGATCACCAAAGTTGGAGGTGAAGAGTTAAGGGAGAGGAAAGGTTAAGTTTATACACTGTCACACTTGTGTATTACTGTCTTATTCTTCACCCATCGCCTCACCCATCACCAGGGCATCCAAATTGACAGTATTGAGAAACACGTTCAAAAGGCCGACAATTACGTGGAGGCAGCAACAAAAAACATAAAGAAAGCCAAGAAAATTGAAAGAAAAGTGCGGAAGGTGAGACATTATTGTGTTGACGTTGGCTGTAGCAGTCTGCTAATGCTATATATTTTTTTCTTTTCTCTCGCCTTGCCTCCTATCCTAACTTTCCTCCACTTATCCCTTTCCGCTTCGCATGAATGTTTATCTCCCAAATACGTTATGTATGTTATTCCTTTATTGTCAATGATTCTACTCAACATAATAAACTGATCTTCGGAAAACTCAATTCTGTCTTTTTTAAGTATTGCTTCTGTCATGGCCAAAATGTCAATATGTGTTTACTAACATTTAAAAATAAATGTTAATATTCTTTACGTATAACATTATTTTTTATACTGACGTCTCTACCTAATTCCTTCTTTCGTTATTTATTTTCCTAAATCTGTAAAACGCAATATCTGTTAAAACTTGAAACTGTAAAATGACTTTTTCTCAATGTTCGTCTTTTCTATGTTTACCTCATTTTATTTTATATTTACCTTTCTTGCTATTCCTTCGTTTGATGTTTAATTTCTTAAAAATCTAAAACCAAAATATTTACGTCTTAAATTATTGAACAACTTTGACTACTGGAAAAACAAAACACTGGTGCGTGGTACTTGTCTCCCCTGAGGTTGTCCTGTTAACTTGGTGTTGATGGTTTCCAAACACATGACTGCCTCTTGTGATCTCCAATCCTATTACTTACGCATCCTTTCATCCTTAATCCTTTATATCCTTACATCTTTTCCTCCTACACTACCTTCATTCCCCTCCTCTCCGAGATCCCTTACCACAACAACAGGGCGAGATGGTAGACAGGATAGAAAACCACGTTCAAGAAGCTCAGGAGTATGTTGAGACCGCTAAAGTGCAGACTAAGGCAGCGCTTCAGTACCAGGGTAAAGCACGCCGGGTGAGTACCAGGCCAGCACCAGGTGTCTGTTGTTGTGGGTACGGCTGCTGGGTGAATACCAGCCCGGCACCAGTTGTCTATTGTTGTGGGTACGGCTGCTGGGTGAATACCAGCCCGGCACCAGTTGTCTATTGTTGTGGGTACGGCAGCCGGGTGAATACCAGCCCGGCACCAGTTGTCTGTTGTTGTGGGAACGGCTGCTGGATGAATACCAGCCCGGCACCAGTTGTCTGTTGTTGTGGGTACGGCAGCCGGGTGAATACTAAGCCGGAAGAGGTTGTGTGTGTCCCTGTGGGTAAGATAAGATAAGATTTCGTTCGGATTTTTAACCCCGGAGGGTTAGCCACCCAGGATAACCCAAGAAAGTCAGTGCGTCATCGAGGACTGTCTAACTTATTTCCATTGGGGTCCTTAATCTTGTCCCCCAGGATGCGACCCACACCAGTCGACTAACACCCAGGTACCTATTTGCTGCTAGGTGAACAGGACAACAGGTGTAAGGAAACGTGTCGGAATGTTTCCACCCGCCGGGAATCGAACCCGGGCCCTCCGTGTGTGAAGCGGGAGCTTTAGCCACCAGGCCACCGGGCCTGGTCTTGGCTTGAGTACTTGTGTTGTTATATACACTGGGAGAAGATTCAACCCAGCATCTGGTAAATCTGAATAATCAGATTTTGTCAAAGTAAGGAAAAGATGCCTTTAGTGCCTTGGATTAAGATCCTTTTACAGCATCATGGTCAGGTTAAAGCCCTGCTTCGAGTCTTATTATTTCCCATTATTTCTGATCTAGCTAGTATACTTCTTGCATGCTAGTCTGTCAGCCTCTTAAAGAAGTCTATTACAAACACGTATTCTGCTTTGCTCGTATTTTTTGTTTGTTTTTGCTTAAATTTGCTGAAGCTGGATGTGAATTCAAGGTATAAGTTGCTTCCATAGGATCTTTATTACGACTGCTAATTTTATTAATAATAGTGGTGGTAGTACAAGTAATATTAGAAGCAGTAATAGTTGTTGTTGTAGTAGTAGTAGTAGTTGTTGTTGTTGTAGCAGTAGCAGCAGCAGTAGTAGTAGTAGTAGTAGTAGTAGTAGTAGTAGTAGTAGTAGTAGTAGTAGTAGTAGTAGTAGTAGTAGTAATATTTTATAAGTGAGTGCCTTTTCAAAACGAATGTAAGATAAGTCATATTTACAACTGTCAAGATGTGTTACGTCTGTTGCGTTGACGTAGTCTTCCTACGTCATACATCGTTGTACTGATGTATCATACACTTTATACAATGCTTTAGTTACCATAAATTGGCCGCTATTTTTCCCCTGTTGTTAATTATAAATAAACTCCGCATTACTTTTTTTGTTAATATTTACCAATAAAAAATAATTATGAATAACTTCAACATTAATATTTTTAACATTTTCCCAGTAAATATTTATTTTCAAAATTTGTGATAATTGATATTTAGATAATTTTAACATATTTAATTAACCTCACTCTGTAATTATTATTGTCAAATATAATCGTAATCTATAACTCTAAAGTATAATTGTAATTTATAATTGTAAATTATTATGGTAATTTTTTAGGTATTCGATAATATAAATTATTTACTTATAAATGTGTCTTTCCTTTATTAAATTTAAATTTATATTTTTCATCTTTTATTCCACAGAAAAAAATTATGATTATCATATGTGTGATAATTCTGCTGTGTGTACTGATACTCATCCTGGCACTGACGCTGTCATAACACTAGAGGGAGTCTGGCGGTACTGGCACTCATCCTGGCACTGTCGCTGTCATAACACTAGAGGGAGTCTGGCGGTACTGGCACTCATCCTGGCACTGTCGTTGTCATAACACAAGAGGGAGTCTGGCGGTACTGGCACTCATCCTGGCACTGTCGCTGTCATAACACAAGAGGGAGTCTGGCGGTACTGGCACTCATCCTGGCACTGTCGTTGTCATAACACAAGAGGGAGTCTGGCGGTACTGGCACTCATCCTGGCACTGTCGCTGTCATAACACTAGAGGGAGTCTGGCGGTACTGGCACTCACCCTGGCACTGTCGTTGTCATAACACAAGAGGGAGTCTGGCGGTACTGGCACTCATCCTGGCACTGTCGCTGTCATAACACAAGAGGGAGTCTGGCGGTACTGGCACTCACCCTGGCACTGTCGTTGTCATAACACAAGAGGGAGTCTGGCGGTACTGGCACTCACCCTGGCACTGTCGTTGTCATAACACAAGAGGGAGTCTGGCGGTACTGGCACTCACCCTGGCACTGTCGTTGTCATAACACAAGAGGGAGTCTGGCGGTACTGGCACTCATCCTGGCACTGACGCTGTCATAACACAAGAGGAAGTCTGGCGGTACTGGCACTCATCCTGGCACTGTCGCTGTCATAACACAAGAGGAAGTCTGGCGGTACTGGCACTCATCCTGGCACTGTCGCTGTCATAACACAAGAGGGAGTCTGGCGGTACTGGCACTCATCCTGGCACTGTCGCTGTCATAACACAAGAGGGAGTCTGGCGGTACTGGCACTCATCCTGGCACTGTCGCTGTCATAACACAAGAAGGAGTCTGGCGGTACTGGCACTCATCCTGGCACTGTCGTTGTCATAACACAAGAGGAAGTCTGGCGGTACTGGCACTCATCCTGGCACTGTCGCTGTCATAACACAAGAAGGAGTCTGGCGGTACTGGCACTCATCCTGGCACTGTCGTTGTCATAACACTAGAGGGAGTCTGGCGGTACTGGCACTCATCCTGGCACTGTCGTTGTCATAACACTAGAGGGAGTCTGGCGGTACTGGCACTCATCCTGGCACTGTCGTTGTCATAACGCAAGAGGGAGTCTGGCGGTACTGGCACTCACCCTGGCACTGTCGTTGTCATAACACTAGAGGGAGTCTGGCGGTACTGGCACTCATCCTGGCACTGTCGTTGTCATAACACAAGAGGGAGTCTGGCGGTACTGGCACTCATCCTGGCACTGTCGTTGTCATAACACAAGAGGGAGTCTGGCGGTACTGGCACTCATCCTGGCACTGTCGTTGTCATAACACAAGAGGGAGTCTGGCGGTACTGCACTCATCCTGGCACTGTCGTTGTCATAACACAAGAGGGAGTCTGGCGGTACTGGCACTCATCCTGGCACTGTCGTTGTCATAACACTAGAGGGAGTCTGGCGGTACTGGCACTCATCCTGGCACTGTCGTTGTCATAACACAAGAGGGAGTCTGGCGGTACTGGCACTCATCCTGGCACTGTCGTTGTCATAACACTAGAGGGAGTCTGGCGGTACTGGCACTCATCCTGGCACTGTCGTTGTCATAACACTAGAGGGAGTCTGGCGGTACCGGCACTCATCCTGGCACTGTCGTTGTCATAACACTAGAGGGAGTCTGGCGGTACCGGCACTCATCCTGGCACTGTCGTTGTCATAACACTAGAGGGAGTCTGGCGGTACTGGCACTCATCCTGGCACTGTCGTTGTCATAACACTAGAGGGAGTCTGGCGGTACTGGCACTCATCCTGGCACTGTCGTTGTCATAACACTAGAGGGAATGTGGTGGTGCTCGCCGCCAACCTAATAGTTTGATTATTATTATTATTATTATTATTATTATTATTATTATTATTATTATTATTATTATTATTATTATTATTATTATTATTATATTAATATAATTTCCATGTTTTAAATTATATTATTCTTAATTCTTCTCCACCATCATCTTATGGAAGCGCTAAACACTTTAGGGTCAAGCAGTGCTTTTGGAGTATAACACCATCTGATTTGATCCGAGGAAGAGGAAGGTAGCTATTATCCCATGGATCAAGAGCCCGCCACAAGGACTCAACTTCCAAGAATTGTAAAAAAAATGTAAATACATAATGAATAAAATAAAATAATGATAATTTAGGGTCATTATAATGTGTAAATTATGAGCTTCAGGCTGTAAATTATGAGCAAAAATGTAAATAATGAAGATGATTGTTATTTTTTGGTAATATTATTAATTATTATTATTATTATTAGTAGTAGTAGTAGTAATTGTAGTATTATTATTAGTATTATACTCACCCACAGATCTTTTTCCTTGAGTGAGGTTTGCAGTCTTTGGCCATCTAAACTATATTGTGTCTGCGGTCTTCTTTGCCCTTCCCCAATCTTCATGACTTTGCATTTGGCAGGGTTAAACTCAAGGAGCCAGTTGCTGGACCAGGCTTGTAGCCTGTCCAGGTCTCTTTGTAGTCCTGCCTGATCCTCGTCCGATTTGATTCTTCTCATTAACTTCACATCATCTGCAAACAAGGACACTTCTGAGTCTATCCCTTCCGTTATGTCGTTCACATATACCAAGAACAGCACAGGTCCTAGGACTGACCCCTGTGGAACCCCGCTTGTCACAGGCGCCCACTCTGACACCTCGTCACGTACCATGACTCGTTGTTGCCTCCCTGTCAGGTATTCTCTGATCCATTGCAGTGCCTTTCCTGTTATGTGTGCCTGATCCTCTAGCTTTTGCAGTAACCTCTTGTGATTAACTGTGTCGAAGGCCTTCTTGCAGTCCAAAAAAATGCAGTCGATCCACCCCTCGCTCTCTCTCTCTTGTCTTACTTCTGTCACCTTGTCATAAAACTCTAGTAGGTTTGTGACACAGGATTTTCCTTCCCTGAAACCGTGCTGGTTGTCAATTATACACTTGTTTCTTTCCAGGTGCTCCACCACTCTCCTCCTGATGATTTTCTCCATGACCTTGCATACTATACACGTTAGTGATACAGGTCTGTAGTTTAGTGCCTCATGTCTGTCTCCCTTTTTAAAAATTGGGACTACATTTGCCATCTTCCATACCTAGGGGAGTTGCCCAGTTTCAAATGATGTGTTGAGGATCTTTGTTAATGGTACACACAATATCTCTGCTCCCTCTTTAAGGACCCACGGAGAGATGTTGTCTGGTCCCACCGCCTTTGAGGTGTCAAGTTTGCATAGCAGCTTCTTCACCTCCTCCTTGGTTATATGTACCTCATCCAGCACTTGCTGGTGCACCCCCCTGCTCTGATTTCCTGGAGTCCTACTGGTTTCCACTGTAAATACTTCTTTAAATCTCGTGTTGAGCTCCTGACATACCTCCTGGTCGTTTCTTGTGAATTCCCCATCACCCTTCCTCAGTCTGATTACCTGGTCCTTGACTGTTGTTTTCCTCCTGATATGGCTGTACAACAGCTTCGGGTCAGTCTTGACTTTCGATGCTATGTCATTTTCGTATTGCCGCTGAGCCTCCCTTCTTATCTGTGCATATTCGTTTCTGGCTCTTCTGCTAATCTCTTTATTTTCCTGAGTTCTCTGTCTTCTGTACCTTTTCCATTCTCTAGTACACCTAGTTTTTGCCTCCCTACACCTTTGGGTTAACCAAGGACTCGTTCTGTTCTTCCCATTATTTCTGTTTCCCTTGGGAACAAACCTCTCCTCTGCCTCCTTGCATTTTGTTGCGACATAGTCCATCATTTCTTGTACTGGTTTTCCTGTCAGTTCCCTCTCCCACTGAATGTCTTGAAAGAAGTTCCTCAAGCCTGAGTAGTTTTCCCTTTCGTAGTTTGGTTTTTCCCACCCTATTCCTGCTGCTCTCTCCACTTGGAGCTCAACTATGTAGTCGAAGCACAGAACCACATGATCACTAGCTCCCAGGGGCCTTTCATACATGATATTCTCGATGTCATAACTACTCAAGGTGAATACAAGGTCCAGTCTTGCTGGTTCATCCTCTCCTCTCTCTCTGGTAGTGTCTCTAACATGTTGATGCATGAGGATTTCCAGTACTACATCCATCATCTTGGCTCTCCATGTTTCGGGACCTCCATGGGGCTCCAGGTTTTCCCAGTCAATCTCCTTGTGATTGAAATCACCCATAACTAGTAACTTTGCTCCCCCCATGTGTGCTCTCCTGGCCACCTCGGCTAGTGTGTCGACCATTGCTCTGTTGCTCTCATCGTATTCTTCTCTTGGCCTCCTGCAGTTCTGTGGTGGGTTGTACATTACTGCAATTATCACCTTATGTCCCTCAGACTGGATTGTTCCTACTAAGTAGTCCCTTTCGCCCGTGCCGTCCATTTCTTCCATTTTCTCAAACCCCCACTGGTTTTTAATGAGCAGTTCAACTCCTCCTCTCCCTCTCCTCCCTCTGTCTTTCCTGAGGATTTGATATCTGGATGGAAAGATTGAATCTGTTATTATTCTGGTGAGTTTTGTTTCTGTGAGTGCTATTATGTCTGGGGATGTCTCCTTGATTCTTTCGTGCCACTCCTCATACTTATTTGATATTCCATCTGCATTTGTATACCACACCTTCAACTTCTTTTCTAAGATTGTGGTCTGGGAGGTGTATTGGGGTTGGGGAAGTGGGTGACCTGATAAGGAACTATGGGTGGTTGCTGTGGGGGTGGAGTTTGTAATGCAGTGGGTGGGGGCATTGGATGTGGCATGGGTGTTTTGGTTTAGAGTGTTTGGTTGCACTGGGGTTGACCTGGTTGGGAGGCTTCTATAGGAAGTTGTGAGGGAGGCTGTATTTGATCTTCCTGGGTCTGGGATCTCCTGTCTGTCTTCTCCATCCCCTCTCTTTCCTCCTTTCGCCTTTGTACCAACTCTCTCAGTTTCTGCCTTTCTTCTTGTGTTCTGTCGCAGTTGAGATACACCTTTCTGTATGCCTGCATGTCCCTTAATCGTGCTTTCTCCTGCAGGATCCTGTTCTGAGTCGATTCTGCCTTGAAGGTCACTTTCACTGGCCGGGTTCTTTTTTTTACAAACCCCCTATTCTCCGAAAATTTTCCAGCTGGGTCATGTCGTCTTCTCCTATTGCTTTCATGATGCTTTCAATTGCTTTTTTTTCCCTTGTTTTCTTGCTTCATATGTTTCCCCTTCAACTTCCTGGAGCCCATACACAAAGACTGACCTCACCCTTTCATTCTCCCACTGCATATCCCTGTGTATCCCCTCATTCAATTTGATTTCCTCCATTTCAGCTTTCCTTTCTTCAGTTTCACTAGCTAATGTACTTGGGCTCAGTGGCCTGTCATTTTCCCTTCTCGGCTTTCCCTGGGCTCTGCTGTGGTCTGTTAGGGCCTCCACATATAGCTTAGCTCTTTCATTTACTACAGTCTCCACTGATTGAGCTTCTACATGCAGTTTTCCTCCTTTCCCTACAGTCCCCTTATTTGTGACTGAGGTAGCAGTCTCTGTTGTCAATCCCAAAATGTTATTTAGTTCTTTAGGCTGTTTCAGATTTTTCAGTTCCTCTTCTAAACTCTGTATCCTGGCCTCTGCTGCTTTGACTTGCACCTCCCACTTCCTGCTTTCCATGTCTATCCTCTCTTCCATTCTCATGCTAAGTTCTTCTAGTTTCTTTTCCCATTCATGTTCCCTTTTTGTGAGCTCTGCTGCCCAATCTTCCTTTGCAGTTTCCTCCACCTGTCAATTGGTTTTTCTTGTTGCTCTCTGGCAACCCATTTTTGTTTTATCCTGATTGCCTCAGAGTGGGAAACCTATGTAATTCTGTATGTTAGGTTAGTATTGTGTCTGTCAGAGTGTGGGGAGGGGGAGGTAGAGGAGGAACTGTGGTTATGTGGGAGAGTAGTGGGGAGGGGGGTGGGAAGGAGGGAGAAGCAAGTGGGTGAGTGGGAGAGGGAGAGGGGGAAGGAGGGAGAGGTGGGGAGGGGGAGGGTGAAGAGGGAGGGGAGGGATCAGGTGAAGGAGTGAGATGTCGGTGTGGGAGGGGAGGGATCAGGTGAAGGAGTGAGATGTCGGTGGGGGAGGGGGGAGTGTATGTGTGAGTCTGGCAATGTACTCACCTATTTGTGGTTGCAGGGGTCGAGTCCTAGCTCCTGGCCCCGCTGTGTGTGTGTGTATGTGTGAGTCTGGCAATGTACTCACCTATTTGTGGTTGCAGGGGTCGAGTCCTAGCTCCTGGCCCCGCTGTGTGTGTGTGTATGTGTGAGTCTGGCAATGTGTGTGTGTGTGTGTGTGTGTGTGTGTGTGTGTGTATGTTGTGTGTGTGTGTGTGTGTGTGTGTGTGTGTGTGTGTGTGTGTGTGTGTGTGTGTGTGTGGGTGTGTGTGTGTGTGTGTGTGGGTGTGGGTGTGTGTGTGTGTGTGTGTGTGTGTGTGTGTGTGTGTTGTGTGTGTGTGTGTGTGTTGTGTGTGTGTGTGTGTGTGTGTGTGTGTGTGTGTGTGTGTGTGTGTGTGTGTGTGTGTGTGTGTGTGTGTGTGTGTTGTGTGTGTGTGTGTGTGTGTGTGTGTGTGTGTGTGTGTGTGTGTGTGTGTGTGTGTGATGTGTGTATGTGTGTTGTGTGTGTGTGTGTGTGTATGTGTGTATGTGTGTGTGTGTGTGTGTGTGTGTGTGTGTGTGTGTATGTGTGTATGTGTGTATGTGTGTGTGTGTGTGTGTGTGTGTGTGTGTGTGTGTGTGTGTGTGTGTGTGTGTGTGTAAAAAGAAATTATAATTAAATGATCTGAGCCCACTTGGGAAATTATATTTATAAGTGCTTTAGGATACTTATAAGTGTCTCTATAAGTATTACTGGTGGAAACAGAAATAAAAAAAACGAAATGTGAATAATTAGTAGAAGAAAGTGGGACAGAAAAGTGCGGGACTAGAATAGTATAAGACACTTTTTGAGAAAAGTGCAATGGATATCTGTTAAAAGTGTCTTAGGATATGTAATATAAGAGTCTTAAAATATGTATTGTAAGTGTCTTATAAGTGTTTCATTATAATTATAAGTGTCCTAGAACGTTTGTAAATGTTTCTGGATAATTATAAGTGCCCCAACATATGTATTATAAGTGAATTATGAAATATGTTAGTGCATAAGAAGTGTCTTATGTTAATTATAAGTGTCTTAGAATACTTATAAGTGCCTCAGGATAATTGTAAGTTTCTTATAAGATGTATTATAAGTGCCATGTGATACTTATAAGTATCTCAAAATGATTATAAGTGTCTCAGGGTACATATAAGTATCTCAGGATACTAATAAGTGTCTCAGGATACATATAAGTATCTCAGGATACTAATAAGTGTCTCAGGATACATATAAGTATCCCAGGATACTAATGTCTCAGCATGGTAATAAGTGTCTCAGGATACATATAAGTATCTCAGGATACTAATAAGTGTCTCAGGATACATATAAGTATCTCAGGGTACTAATAAGTGTCTCAGGATACATATAAGTATCTCAGGATACTAATAAGTGTCTCAGGATACGTATAAATATCTCAGGATACTAATAGGTGTCTCAGGATACATATAAGTATCTCAGGATACTAATAAGTGTCTCAGGATACATATAAGTATCTCAGGATACTAATAAGTGTCTCAGGATACATATAAGTATCTCAGGATACTAATAAGTGTCTCAGGATACATATAAGTATCTCAGGATACTAATAAGTGTCTCAGGATACATATAAGTATCTCAGGATACTAATAAGTGTCTCAGGATACATATGAGTATCTCAGGATACTAATAAGTGTCTCAGGATACATATAAGTATCTCAGGATACTAATAAGTGTCTCAGGATGGTAATAAGTGTCTCAGGATACATATAAGTATCTCATGATGCTAATAAGTGTCTCAGGATACATATAAGTATCTCAGGATGCTAATAAGTGTCTCAGGATACATATAAGTATCTCAGGATGCTAATAAGTGTCTCAGGATACATATAAGTATCTCAGGATGCTAATAAGTGTCTCAGGATACATATAAGTATCTCAGGATGCTAATAAGTGTCTCAGTATACATATAAGTATCTCAGGATACTAATAAGTGTCTCAAGATACATATAAGTATCTCAGGATGCTAATAAGTGTCTCAGAATGCATATAAGTATCTCAGGATACTAATAAGTGTCTCAGAATACATATAAGTATCTCAGGATACTAATAAGTGTCTCAGGATGGTAATAAGTGTCTTAGGATACTTATGTCACTTATTATTCATTTATTCAAAGAGAAGCACTACACCCGTAGGGGCCATAATAGAAGATAATTAGCCCTAAAGAAGGTGAATGTAGCTCCAGTTCCTTGGATCAAGAACACTACACCGGAAAAAATTATCAAAAAATATTAATAAATAATTAAAATTAATAAAATAATTATAGAGGGTAATAATTGTACAATTACAGGTACGACTTAATTAAAATATTTTAATTATTCCACATAAGGATTATGTTAATTTTTCATTATGATTTATATTTTCTACTTTAATAATTGTTTTAAATTATCATATAATTTATGTAATTTAGTTTAAAAAAATTGATTTATTTTTAACGTGTTAATTACTTTTATTTTTTTATTATTATATTATTATTATTATTATTATTATTATTATTATTATTATTATTATTATTTATACTATTATTTTATTATTATTATTATTATTATTAATGTTATTGTTGTTATTATTATTATTATAATTATTATCATTATTTGTTATAGTTATTATTGTTATAACAGCAACAATATAACTGATTTGCTAAAAAAATTATTTATTAGGTAGATAAGATGTGTCAGGAAACAGGACAAGTGTTTCCTGAGGCGGGTCTTAGTTATATGAGGACCCACAGCTGGAGCTTTTGGACGTCTGACCGAGGCCTTCCACTGGCTTACCCCTCCACCCCTTAAAAAGCTGATTATTTAGTAACTTGCTGATGTAAGTTAGGTGTGCTATATGTAGGTGAGTGTATGTATATATGTAATTAAAGTTTATAATTATATCTATTGTATTTTGAATTAAGTTAGACAAAATAAAACTGCTTTATGAATTTTGTTAAATCTTTAACCCAAAAATAATTATATTTTTTACAGCAGCTGTGAGAGTTACATTTATTTCGGAGTTTATTCCGGTACTCTGGAAATAAATGAGTTAAGGGAATTTTTAGGTATTTCTCGAGGGATTTTTAAGCTCGTGTCTGATTTTTTTTTCTAAGTTTTTCGTTTATAACTTGAGAATGTCTCAGTCATGCGACTAGAAACTTTCAACATTGGTGTGTAGTGACTAAGGAAAGGCTGAGGCAAGCATTGGCATGTGCAGGTTAGGAGCTTTTGGTTATTAGGTAAGACACATATGCAACAGTTAGGTATCTTTATTATGAAACGTTTCGCCTACACAGTAGGCTTCTACTTGACTGAAGAAGCCTACTGTGTAGGCGAAACGTTTCATAATAAAGATACCTAACTGTTGCATATGTGTCTTACCTAACAACCTGTCGGTATTTTATACCATTTTAATGTTCAGCTTTTGGTTATCTGACTGAGACCTTCCACTTGCTCATCCCTCCATTATAAACATTACAATGACTATTTTTTTTTTTGAAGCTGATGAACGCAAATAAACAATTGCTTATTTAACCTCATCAGAAAATTACGCTGCTCACTGAACATTTCTTACCATCTGGCTGTTATATCCATCTTGAAAATAAAAAAAAAATCCCCATTTAGGTGTTTTATCCAAATATCTTCAAAACAACTGGCAAAATTGCATCTATGTGGCCCAAAACTAATTCGTATCTCCATTTAAATAAGATGCACCAGCTCTGAAAATTTAAATACAGTCAGAGAAGGTATTTTAAAGTTATATCACAAAGATCAATGTCACTTATCAGATCCTTAAGCTAGTAAACTGTATTTTAATTTTCAGTTACAGAATTAGTACTTTTGAAAAAAAATTGGTTTATTTTTCTTTCATTTTATTCAATAAACTTTTTGTAAGAGAAAACTTAACATTATTTTTGAAACGAAATAAGTGAGGTACCACTGAAATATTACTTATTTTACAAATTAAAAGTTGTGGTACTTTTAAAAACATGGACTAAAAAACAAATATATGCTGGAAGAAGAGACAAACGCAATACTGAGTCAATAAATGGATGATAAAACATATGTAAACAACAACTGTGGAGCTGTGTTGAGCGCATGAGCTGCAGGCTGAGACTGCGCTCTCAGCTCAATCAATACACAGTTAACTGAAATACTGCCACTGTCCGAATACATCACTTAAAACCCGTCACTGCACATGCAGTACTAAAGTTTCAACAGTATTTACAGAGTAAAAATATATAAATTATTATGAGTGGAGACGGCCGAACACTAAATACAAGTTTGGTCAGTTCTCTGAGGTTAGGTTGCTGAGGCAAATGTAAACAAGTGCTGCGAGGAAGGAGAGTTTGGGAGAAGTGTGAAGCTGACATCATAGGAAGGTCAGACGTCACCTGCTCCTGGGTGAGGCATCTCCGCCATGCTCCTCACCTGAGGCCTCCTCACCTCTCCTAGCCAACATGGAGGTAAGTACCTCAATACACAATACACGGAAGACAAAAAAAATATACTCCTATGCTAGTCTTCTCTTATATATTCTCCTCCTCTCGCCTAGCTAGAGCAGCTCCTGTAACTCCAACAAATGCTGTTGATCATGTAGGCGCCATCGCAATAAATCGTATATTTCACTCCAAGACGTCACTGAGAGAATATTGCATAGCCATTAACCCGACTGCACATGCTGATTCTTCCACGGGTTCGTAAATACATCACAGTTTTAAATCATTAGGTACGTAAAAATATTAAATCTGTCATTTGGTGACCAAAATGGCTGGATCATGACTCGGTCTCCCTATTACACGGTAGAAGGGATGTGTGTTGATAGGGATCATACAGTACCTGGGGAATGGAAGGTAATCAGGTCTGACCTGAGAGAGGATAGGTGTCGAGAGAAGACGTTACGGCTCAAACGAAGAAATGATAATCAGGCATAAAAGGGATATAAATGAGGTCTTGCAGAGGTTTAATCAAGATGAATCCACAAACGAGGAGTTCAAGGTTGATAAATTTATATTTAGAAAAAAATATAGGAAGCAGCTGAGTGATAGTTGGTTAGTTCATCAGGTTCAAAGACTAAAATGTCCCGTAGCTCAGCTCACACACTGAGGTCTGGGGGTCGATCCCCTGTACTGGTGGAAACATTAGGACTTATTTCCTTAAGACACCTGATGTCCATGTTCACCTATCAATAAAACAGGTACTTGGGTGTAAGTCGACTGGTGTGGGTCGCATCTTGGGACAAGACTGACCTAATTTGCCCGAAATGCTCAGCATAACAAGCGGGTTTCTATATAGCAGTATTTTATTGATGTCAGCTATGGTCTGCATACTTTGTACAAGTAGAAATAAAGAATATTATTACCTGGAGTTTACCTAGTATTATTATTATTACCATATACCACACGAGAGACATTAAAGCCACGAGTTCAAGCTATTCTGATACTATTGTCAAACTGAGGCATATTTTCATTTTACACTTCGTAAAATTCAATTTAAGGCTTTAAGCGGTTCTGCTTCTTGGTAGGAAAAAAATTTCAGCGCTGAAAGCCGGCCGGCTGGGATTTTTCCCTGTGTGTAGTGAGCGCTAGGCAGTCTGCCTGTGGGTGAGGCCATTGTTATTTGCGGGGGAGGCCTAGCACTCTGTATATAAGCGTTCAGTACGGCACCCAGCATTGTGAATCGGGTTTTAGTCTTTTCATTACCGTAGATTGCATCTGCCAAGGAATCATGGAACCCAGGAGGCATGCAAGTAATGCAGGAACTGGCAAAACAAAGTTTAAACGTTCAAGTCTTGGAATTATGAAGAAAATCGAGATATTAGATAAGCTTAAATATGGTGCACACGTGGTGGACATTGTGAGAGCTTATGGCCTTAATGAAGCGTCAGTTCGTACAATTAAAAGCAGTGAGGCAAATATACAGGCTTGTGCAATGAATAACCCGGGCTGTAATCTCCTGAGAAGAAGGACACATAGATCACAACAAGTAAATAAAACGGAAACCTTATTGCTTGAGTGGATTGGACAAAGAACAAAGAAAGGTGCACTACTTAATTTTAGTTTAATTGGGGAAAAGGTCTTACAGTTGTATAAAACGGTGTGTAATGATGAAGGTCTGAACAAGAGTGTGTTTAGCACAGGCCGGTTCCACAAGTTTAAGTTACGTAATAAGTTACATAATATTAAGTTTTCTAGTGAAAGGGCTTCAGGTGATCATACAGCAGTAAGAAATTTCCCTGCTGAATTGCTGGAAATTATTTCTGAGGGTGGCTACGAGCCACAGCAAGTGTTTAATGCTGACGAGACGAGTGTTTTTTGGAAGTACATAAATGCCAGCAAGACCTTACATCAATCAGCAAGAGAAAAGTGCATCAAGCTTCAAGGCAGCAAAGGATCATTTCACCTTGTTCCTTTCTGGTAATGCGTCGGGTGACTTCAAGTGTAAGCCCATGGTTATTTACCGCTCTAAGAATCCTCGTGCTTTGAAAGGTGTAGATAAAAACACGTTACCAGTAATTTGGAGGTCAAATCTGTCAGCATGGATGACAGAGGAAATATTTATTGACCGGTTTAAGCACCACTTTATTCCTGAAGTCAAGTTTTACTTGCACAACAAGAACCTTGCATTCAAGGTTCTCTTCATTCTTGATTATTCCCGTACTCATCCACAAGCTTTGCTGGATGTGACCCCACATGTAAAAGTTATATTTTTACCTCCAAATACAACATCTTTAATATAACCACTGGCTCAGGGAGTTATTAAGTTATTCAAGTGTAACTACACAAGGAAAAATTAGTTGCATCAATGGATTCTGACTCCAACCTGGCAGTTCCAGACTTCTGGAATAAATTTAATATTGCAGATGCCATTAGCTATGCTAGAAGTGCATGGAATGAAGTGCCCCAACCAACATTAAATGCAGGCTGGGGAAAGTTATGACCTGTAGTTAATTCTTTCACTGGTTTTCTCCCCCTTGAGAGTCAGGTTCAGGAAATTGTTCAGCTGGCAAGGAGATTACCAGGTGATGGTTTTGAAGACATGAAGGATGATATAAATGAGCTCTTAGAACATGATGAAGACAGGAGTCCAGAGGAAATGTTGGCAGAGCTCAATGCAAAGATACAAGGGATGCACATAACAGAAGAAGATAAAGAAGAAATTGAAGAAAAACAGTTTAAATTGCAACAGTTATGTGAGCAGTTCCATAATGTTGGTAAAATTGTAGATTTTTTTCACTGAAAAGGACCCTGATAAATCTAGAAGCAGTGCTCTGAAACGGGGACTAGAGCAGCTGATGATGCCTTACCGTCAGCTGTATAATTTACTGCAGGGAAAAAGAGCCCAGAGATCCATTACAGAAGATATGCACACAGTACAACCATCGACTTTAGTACTAGAACCTCAACCATCCACTTCTGCCGACAACCAACAACCATCGACCTCAGCCCAGTAGGGCCATAACATGCATCTCCACTCTCTTCACAATCATCACCAAACACCAGTAACCACAAAATAAGGTAAGAAAAATTGTTTCTGTTGCATTTTTAGCCTTAAGCAACAGAAAAAACATACATTGTAACAATAATGAACAACAATTGCATTATTATTTTTTTTTTGTAAGATTTGGAAACCTAAGAAAAATGTTTGGCTTTTTGGGGGGTCCTAGGAAAGTAGCCCTATTTTTCCCATAAGTTCTTCAGTTCATTTAACACGGATTCGTCTAACATTGCATTTTCAGGAACCTAGCTACCGTCTTAATCGACGGTCTACTGTATATATGTCGTGCCGAATAGGTAAAATTGGCCAATTAGAAAGAACTCATTTAAAACTAAGTTCTTCCTAAAATTTTCTCATATACGTTTAAAGACCAATCTTGTCTGACTTCGCGTAGGGCTTCCGGGATAGAACTCTACAAGAATCAGAGTCACAATACAGTGACTGTAACAATTCACAGTTCACTTTGAAGAGGAAACTTTCAAAGACGTTTCGGTCCATCATGGATCACTATCAAGTCATAGTTATCCAGGACTGATCGAAACGCCGTTTGAACCTTTCTTTCCAATGGTGAACTCACGCAACCCGTCACAGATATGACTAGTGGTTATAACACTGTCATATTTGTATTTCATAGTATGTTTATGTGTAACAGGTGTCAGCGTGGACGAGGGTGGCGTGGGTGGTGATGGTGGTTGTAGTGGTCATCCCGAGGGCCGAGGCTACCCCACGACCCCTCAACATCGGTGGCATCTTCCCCATCGGTGGATCCGACGGCTGGCAAGGCGGTCAAGTGAGCACACACACACATTTTTTTTTTTAACAGACCTAGTGTCTGTCAACAAGTGCCTCTGACAACTGGCAACTAACACAGACGTGTATGATATGAGTAAATCATGGTTTTTTTTTCTTGTACTAACATTGTTTTTGTCTGTTACAGGCATGTCAGCCGGCGGCCATGTTGGCTATGGAAGACGTCAACCAAAGACCAGACCTCCTGCCAGGGTATGAGCTCAACCTCGCCTGGAATGACTCCCTGGTAAGTAGACCAGACCTCCTGCCAGGATATAAGCTCAGTCTCGCCTGGAATGAGTATTAGGTAGAGGTATTTTGGTTAAGTCGTCAAACCATAGAAGTATCTATGGCCTCACACGAACTCAACATTGTGCGGCACAATTCATGCACGACCCCATTTATCTGTATCTCAGAAACACTCACGAAGCAAAGGAGCTGCAGCTCAACTCCCTCAAGAGATCTACCTATAATTCAACTCATCAATGAGGTTCAAGAGTTAGAGATCAGCATCCTCAAGGCTCAGGAGCTTCAGCTCAGAAAGTCTTCAGTGTACCCACACTGTGGTGTGGTACAGTGTACCCACAGTATGGTGTGGCACAGTGTACTCACAGTATGGAAATAAAACAGTGTGGGATATGGCACTTTATTGCGAAGACTTAATTAATAAACACAGAGAACCATACCCATGTCTTGCCTACTGTGTGAACTAATAAAGTCCCTGGTGGGCGAAACGTCTTCACAATAAAATGCCATAACACGCAATGTGTGTTTTATTTACACTCACAGGCAGGGGGACGTAGTTCCGGAAACAGTGACAAAGACCAACAAGCGGACATATAAACACTGGTAGCAGAGAATCCCTTTACTACAATACTTGAAGCTCAGCCTTGGGCGAAACGTTGTATTTCAGGGTTTCTCTGCGCCCCGAGTCTTTATTTCCAGACAAGGAGACAATAATGGCTCTCAGGAGTAATTTGTCTCCCAGTCATGGAAACTAATAGACTGATTAGCAGGGTCATTTTGGTCTACCGGGAGAGCTGACAGTAGGTAACTGTTCAAGCAGGGGAGCTGATGGTAGATAAAACTGTTCAAGCAGGGGAGCTGATGGTAGATAAAACTGTTCAAGCAGGGGAGCTGATGGTAGATAAAACTGTTCAAGCAGGGGAGCTGATGGTAGATAAAACTGTTCAAGCAGGGGAGCTGATGGTAGATAAAACTGTTCAAGCAGGGGAGCTGATGGTAGATAAAACTGTTCAAGCAGGGGAGCTGATGGTAGATAAAACTGTTCAAGCAGGGGAGCTGATGGTAGATAAAACTGTTCAAGCAGGGGAGCTGATGGTAGATAAAACTGTTCAAGCAGGGGAGTTGATGGTAGATAAAACTGTTCAAGCAGGGGAGCTGATGGTAGATAAAACTGTTCTAGCAGGGGAGCTGATAACAGGTAACGCTGTTCTATCAGGGGACCTAGAACATAACATTCTGCAGATAACTAACAACGAGGCCTGGTCACGGACCGGGCCGCGGACCCCCGAAACCTTCCCCCCCCCTCTCCAGGTATACTCCAGGTACTAACTAAGAGCTTGAGTTAGGCTCGATTTTCTAAATTTATTGTGCAGTGTAAAATAAAAATCAATAACTTCTGAATAGCTAAAGAAAACTATGTGAAAAATAAATAGCTGTGACAAGTTAAAAAGTTTTGACTTATGGGTTTTGTTGTGAATAAGCAAAAAATGTATTATGAAGTGTGTGTGTGTGTGTGTGTGTGTGTGTGTGTGTGTGTGTGTGTGTGTGTTGTGGAGATGTATGGTGTGTGTACTAACATGAGCACATGATGGCAGTGTGAGCCTGGCCTCGGAGCTGCCGTGATGTACGACCTGCTGTACAACCCACCCACCAAGTTGATGTTGTTGGGTGGCTGCTCGACCGTCTGTACCACCATCGGCGAGGCTGCTAAAATGTGGAACCTGGTTGTGGTAAGTGATACAGACACATGCATCAACCTTCATACAACATGTGTCCTGCATTATTACATAAGACATATGACCCTGACACATCCTGCTGTGTCCAACAGCATTATGTATGACACATGTCCCTGACACATCCTGTTATGTCCAACAGCATTATGTAAGACACATGTTCCTGACACATCCTGCTGTGTCCAACAGCATTATGTATGACACATGTCCCTGACACATCCTGCTATGTCCAACAGCATTATGTAAGACACATGTCCCTGACACATCCTGCTATGTCCAACAGCATTATGTAAGACACATGTCCCTGACACATCCTGCTATGTCCAACAGCATTATGTAAGACACATGTCCCTGACACATCCTGCTATATCCAACAGCATTATGTAAGACACATGTCCCTGACACATCTTGTCACAGTTTTCAACCAGTTGTTACTCAACTGGTCGTAATTCTCGACTAAGTGCAGTAGACTGACACACATTTTTCTTCTGATCTTGTGTATGATCTTCACTTTATCAGTCGGTTTACGTCGCTGATAAAGTGCCTATCATGCCTGTCTTACTACACCTGGATATATGTACATTAGCATGTGATATATATTATATATATATATATATATATATATATATATATATATATATATATATATATATATATATATGTGTGTGTGTGTGTGTGTGTGTGTGTGTGTGTGTGTGTGTGTGTGTGTATTATACGTGAGCTTACAATAGCTGTGCTGAGCTGTACCTCTCGCCTCAGCTATCGTACGGGTCCAGCTCGCCAGCGCTGAGTGACCGCCAGAGGTTCCCGACGTTCTTCAGGACGCATCCATCAGCCACAGTGCACAACCCCACCAGGATCAGGGTGATGCAGAAGTACAACTGGTCTAGGGTGGCCATCATCCAGCAGGCTGAGGAGGTCTTCATCTCCGTGAGTAAATCTCTGACACGGAGAATGAATTACAATCCTCCCTCCATACACCGACACCGTCATCCATCTTCCACTGTCCGAATTCTTCACGTAATATCCACACTACATATCGCCTTGAAACATACTATCTCCACTGCCTCCAGCTTCTTCCCTCATCACGTACAATACTGTTTTCCTCACCTCGACGAAAAGAAAATTAAAATCCATAATATTTGTTTTTTGGTCACCTACTGGCTACTCGTCCATTAAATTTTGTCATAATTTGTAATTCATGCATATTTTAAATTCAATAAAAAAAATCTTCAAACAGATTCACTGAAAACTACTCTACTTATTTCCAACTAAACTTCTGTTACCATTCACGAGAAACGTAAGTTATCTCCCATTAGTCTGTGTTCCTTTCAGAGATATTTAATTTTACAGAACAATGTCGTCCACCCAACTATCTACTCTCGTCCCTGGTAATTATATTCATAAGTTATGACTTCAAGATTCATATTAAATATCTATGGATACTTTTCTGTACCTGATGGAAATACTTGACTCTTCGTTGTGTCGTTGAGAGAGAACCTTTTTGCTGTGTTATTCTAACCTCAACTTTCAATACAGATATTATCGAATTAATGGCATACAATATAAAGTGGATTGATAGGGCACATGTGCCATGCCTAGGTATCTTAACTGATGAAACGTTTCGCCCACCACTTGCTGTTTTGCCCTGGAAAGGCCATTAGTTTGCGAAACGTCTGATCAATAAAGATACCCAGGCGTTGCACTTAGGTCTTATTTCTAAACAATATTAGTGGAGACTAGAGTGTAAGTCAGACTGCCTCAGCAGATAGCATGAACGGTGGGGTGTCCTGCCGTCCGCCTCTCCTCTGTTCTCCCTCAGCAGCCACAGTTGTCCTGCAGACGGTGGAGGATCTGGAGGTGCGGTGTAAGGATGCCGGGATAGAGATAGTCACCCGTCAGAGCTTCCTCACTGATCCTACGGACGCCGTCAGGAACCTGAAGCGGCAGGACGCCAGGATCATCGTAGGACTCTTCTACGTCAGCGCAGCCAGGAGGGTCCTCTGCGAGATTTACAAGAATAAACTCTACGGCAAGAGTTACGTCTGGTTCTTCATTGGTAAGGCGTTCACCTTTATTGCTCCTCTCTTTAGAGCCACTTACTGTGCCTCCAACATTGAATGTTAGCAGACTGAGGATCGAACCTACACATCTCCTTGCGCTAGATAACCCACACTGGTTCAGATCTTCACATAAAGTACATAATAACTCCTTAGTGGCTCACAGTATATCTTCCCTAGTAAGGCAATGCCCCTAGCTCCTTCCTCGTAGTTACTTCTCATCTCAGATCGTGTGACGTTCTTTACTGCTATGAAATTAATAGATTCTTCCCTGCTAAGCAGTTTGCATTTATCTTTATTTGATGCTTCAGAGGTACTTATCTGTGGCAAGTTATTCTCGGGATTTTAGAGTTGTTATTGTACCAGCGACTCTCTCAAAACAAGTATTAAATGATCTAACAGAACCCATGATGATATACAGCACCTTCAAAACTAGGGAGGCCAAGCCCATGATGACACTCTTCAGGTCACTTGTTCTATCTAGGCTATCTAGGCTGGAATATTGCTGCACACACTAACAGCACCTTTCAAGGCAGGTGAAATTGCTGACCTAGAAAATGTACAGAGAACTTTCACGGCGCGCATAACGGAGATAAAACACCTCAATTATTGGGAGCGCTTGAGGTTCCTAAACCTGTATTCCCTGGAACGCAGGAGGGAGAGATACATGATTATATACACCTGGAAAATCCTAGAGGGACTAGTACCGAACTTGCACACGAAAATCACTCACTACGAAAGCAAAAGACTTGGCAGATGATGCACCATCCCCCCAATGAAAAGCAGGGGTGTCACTAGCACGTAAGAGACCATACAATAAGTGTCAGGGGCCACGAGACTGTTCAACTGCCTCCCAGCACACATAAGGGGGATTACCAACAGACCCCTGGCAGTCTTCAAGCTGGCACTGGACAAGCACCTAAAGTCAGTTCCGGATCAGCCGGGCTGTGGCTCGTACGTTGGTTTGCGTGCAGCCAGCAGCAACAGCCTGGTTGATCAGGCTCTGATCCACCAGGAGGCCTGGTCACAGACCGGGCCGCGGGGGCGTTGACCCCCGGAACTCTCTCCAGGTAAACTCCAGGTAAAACAGCAGACTTGGATGACTGGCTTACTGACTGGGTTGCTGACTGGCTTGCTAGGCAGTTTTCTGGGTGAGTGTATGGTGCTCAAGTGTGATGTTGTTGCAGGCTGGTACGAGGATAACTGGTTCGAGAATCACCTGGTGGAGGAGAACCTTAACTGCACCAGAGAAGAGATGAAGCAGGCAGCGGAGGGTCACCTCACCACAGAGGCTCTAATGTGGAACAAGGACAACGAGAAGACCATCTCGGGCATGGTGAGTGTGTGTGTGTGTGTACTCACCTATTTGTGGTTGCAGGGGTCGAGTCCTAGCTCCTGGCCCCGCCTCTTCACCGGTTGCTATTAGACCCTCTCTCTCCCCGCTCCATGAGCTTTATCAAACCTCGTCTTAAAACTGTGTATGGTTCCTGCCTCCACTACGTCATTTTCTAGGCTATTCCACTGCCTTACAACTCTATGACTGAAGAAATACTTCCTACTATCTCTCTGACTCATTTGTGTCTTCAACTTCCAATTGTGGCCTCTTGTTTCTGTGTCCCCTCCCTGGAACATCCTGTCCTTGTCCACCTTGTCTATTCCACGCAGTATTTATATGTCGTTATCATGTCTCCCTGACCCTCCTGTCCTCCAGTGTCGTCAGGCCGATTTCCCTTAATCTTTCTTCATAGGACATTCCCCTTAGCTCTGGAACTAACCTTGTTGCAAACCTTTGTACTTTCTCTAGTTTCTTGACGTGCTTTATCAAGTGCGGGTTCCAAACAGGTGCTGCATACTCAGTATGGGCCTGACATACACGGTGTACAGTGTCTTGAATGATTCCTTACTAAGGTGTCGGAATGCTGTTCTCAGGTTTGCCAGGCGCCCATATGCTGCAGCAGTTATCTGATTGATGTGTGCTTCCGGAGACATGCTCGGTGTTATACTCACCCCAAGATCTTTCTCCTTGAGTGAGGTTTGCAGTCTTTGGCCACCTAGCCTATACTCTGTCTGTGGTCTTCTGTGCCCTTCCCCTTCTTCATGACTTTGCATTTGGCAGGATTAAATTCGAGAAGCCATTTGCTGGACCAGGTGTCCAGTCTGTCCAGGTCTCTTTGAAGTCCTGCCTGGTCCTCATCAGATTTAATTCTCCTCATTAACTTCACATCATCTGCAAACAGGGACACTTCTGAGTCTAACCCTTCCGTCATGTCGTTCACATATACCAAAAATAGCACTGGTCCTAGGGCCGACCCCTGTGGGACCCCGCTCGTCACAGGTGCCCACTGTGATACATCATTACGTACCATGACTCGTTGTTGCCTCCCTGTCAGGTATTCTCTGATCCATTGCAGTGCTCTTCCTGTTATATGCGCCTGATGCTCTAGCTTCTGCACTAATCTCTTGTGAGGAACTGTGTCAAAGGCCTTCTTGCAGTCCAAGAAGATGCAATCAACCCACCCTCTCTCTCTTGTCTTACTTCTGTTATTTTATCATAAAACTCCAGAAGGTTTGTGACACAGGATTTGTGTGTGTGTGTGTGTGTGTGTGTGTGTGTGTGTGTGTGTGTGTGTGTGTGTGTGTGTGTGTGTGTGTGTGTGTGTGTATGTGTGTGTGTGTGTGTGTGTGCTTGTGTGTGTATGTGTATGCGTGTGTGTGTGTGTGTGTGTGTGTGTGTGTGTGTGTGCGTGTGTGTGTGTGTGATGTGTGCGTGTGTTTCTCCTGCTGTTCGGTGGCGGGTTGTACATTACTGCTATCATCACTTTTGGATCCCCAGTTAGAAGTGTTCCTACTATGTGTCCTCCGCTTCACCTTTGACTAATCCTCCCATCTCTTCAAAACTCCATTGGTCTTTGATGAGGAGTCCTACTCCAAGTGTAAGTGTATCCATGGGTGAGTGTATCCATGTATGAGTGTATCTGTGCGTCTGTTTCTAATTAATTTATTGTAAAATCATGTTTTCAAGCTGATATATAATAGTGAAGTGAGTGTTCCTTTGTTTAGACTGCTGGAGACTTCAGGCTGCGTCTGAACCAGGCGCTGATAGACCGTGGCTACGAGAACCAGAGTACGCCCGTGGGATACCAGGTAGGTCCTCTGAGTGTTGATAGACCGTGGCTACGAGAACCAGAGTGCACCCGTGGGATACCAGGTAGGTCCTCTGAGTGTTGATAGACCGTGGCTACGAGAACCAGAATACACCCGTGGGATACCAGGTAGGTCCTCTGAGTGTTGATAGACCGTGGCTACGAGAACCAGAGTGCACCCGTGGGATACCAGGTAGGTCCTCTGAGTGTTGATAGACCGTGGCTACGAGAACCAGAGTGCACCCGTGGGATACCAGGTACTCTCACACCCCTTTCACTCTGCTCTCATTCCATCTCACCCCTCAAACTTCCTCTCATCCCTCTCCTTTTATTTCACTCACTGAACTCTAACCTCTCACTCCCTCTCCCCCTTCTCATTTCTCTCTCACTGGACTCTCACCTCTCACTTCCTCACCGTTCTTGACGGGAACAAAGAAAGATCTTTCATGTTTATGTAAGACAAGAACTGCAGTTGCTGAGGTACCTTCAAGAATACATATTAAGGTATATTTTTTAAAAGATAAATACTTATATCACATATTATTGATATAAAATACCAACAAAGTTGATGAATAAAACACATGCACAACACCTGAGAATTTTTGTTGCATAAAAGATTTCTTTTAATCTACATCGTATTCTCACTCTCACACTCTCTCACTCCCTCTCACACTCTCTCACTCCCTCTCACACTCTCTCACTCCCTCTCACACTCTCTCACTCCCTCTCACACTCTCTCACTCCCCTCTCACACACTCACCCCCTCTCACACTCTCTCACTCCCTCTCACACTCACCCCCTCTCACTCCCGCTCACACTCACTTTTCACATTCATTACCTCTCACACTCACTCCCTCTCGCTCACTCTCAGGGATCATACAGCGTTTAAGTTAATTCACTTATTTTCATCCCCTCAGGAAGCTCCTCTGGCTTACGATGCCATCTGGAGTGTGGCACTGGCACTGAACAAGACGATGGAGGTGCTGGCAGCAGTGAACAGGTCTATTGAGGAGTTCACCTATACTAACGAGGAGATAGCCAGGGAACTATACAAGGCCATGAACGCCACACAGTTCCTTGGTGTCTCGGTAAGACAGTTAAAAAAAAAAATTGTTTGCTGCTTCTAAACAGTCGGAATTACGGCTTTTTATAAACAGTCTGAAATCTCACTGTCACACATTGTAAATATGTGCCGAGAGGTTGGCTGGCTGGTTACTAGGGGTCATTCAGACCACAGTAACTTGTTCTCCACCAATCAAGAATAGTTTAATCCCTTAAAAATGCATTACAGCAATCTCTATGTGTATATACACCGGAAGGCCGAGATAAAAATGTGCTGGACTTAGTGAGCGATATATACTTAACATTCCTTACTTAGTGAGCGGTATATACTAACATTCCTGACTTAGTGATCGGTATATACTTAACATTCCTGACTTAGTGAGCGATATATACTTAACATTCCTGACTTAGTGAGCGATATATACTTAACATTCCTGACTTAGTGAGCGATATATACTTAACATTCCTGACTTAGTGAGCGATATATACTTAACATTCCTGACTTAGTGAGCGATATATACTTAACATTCCTGACTTAGTGAGCGGTATATACTTAATATGTGCAGTAGATCCACACACACGATGCACGAAACATATTTAGCTTTGGTATTCTCTTCAGAAAGTTTTCAGTAAATCTTATTGACCGTTTAACTGTACACTGTATAAAGTAATACAGTGGGTACATGTATAACATCTTGTAGATATACACGGAGTGAGCTCGTGAATAATATTATGTGTGAGGTGAATGAGTTTGTCTATATAATCATAAAATAATATCCAGGTTATGTCATCATGCAATAATTCCTTTAGTTAAAAATGTGTTACAAGATTTTGCTGCCATAATACAAGAGTTCATTGTAACATAATAAGGTTAAACAGAGTGAGTTATCTTCCTAAGGAGTGAAAACCTGCAGCAAATTCAGAATAAAAATTTCTTGTTTCTGTGTTGTCAGCTATAGAATTGTACAGCGGGAACATAGATACAGTCTGATGGTAGTGAAATTGTTGTAGTTGATGCCACGGGTCTTGTACTCGGTGTCACAGACGCTGTAGTGAGGGTCATGGTATGTCTTGTACTCGGTGTCACAGACGCTGTAGTGAGGGTCATGGTATGTCTTGTGCTAGGCGTCACAGACGCTGTAGTGAGGGTCATGGTATGTCTTGTGCTAGGCGTCACAGACGCTGTAGTGAGGGTCATGGTATGTCTTGTGCTAGGCGTCACAGACGCTGTAGTGAGGGTCATGGTATGTCTTGTGCTAGGCGTCACAGACGCTGTAGTGAGGGTCATGGTATGTCTTGTGCTAGGCGTCACAGACGCTGTAGTGAGGGTCATGGGATGTCTTGTGATTGTCCTGATCACTACACTGAGCGAGTGAATTTTAGGCAAAGGTACTCATAAGTACAATTATCATACAGTGTAACGTATGTGAAAATGACCTAGAATACCCAAAAAAAAGTGACTTATTTCCATTTCAGGGGCGTGTAGCGTTCAGCACCGACGGTGACAGGATAGCGTGGACACAAGTGGAGCAGATGATTGACGGCCGCTACCACAAGCTGGGCTACTACCACGTACAAACTGACAACCTCACCTGGTTCAACAGAGAACAGTGGATAGGTACGGCAACACCATTATACCATTGCTCCACCTCTAGCATGTATTTAAATTGAATCCGTCTTCCACATGGTATCTCGGTACACCAGGACTTGGATTATAAGATAATTTAGGTCTCTTCTCTGATTTAGCATAAGGTTCAAGGTTTGAGGTTTAGTATCACGCTCTGAATATGTCATAGCTCTCATAAGATCTTCTTTGAATTTAATTCAGGGATGTCTGCGAGCTAGTCAAAGGCTGCTCACACAACATTATTTCTTGTGACGCAGGAAGCAAGGTGCCGCAAGACCGTACCATCGTCAGGCGGCAGCTGCGGACGGTATCTCTAGCTCTTTTCATCAGCATGTGTACCATCAGCACCATCGGGGCAGTGTGGGCACTCTTCCTTCTCGGTTTTACCTTCGCCCACAGACACCGCAGGTAAGAAACTCCTTTCCTACCTAACCTGTCGCCACAAACACCACAGGAAAGTGGCCACAAGGACCAACCAGTTATAGAAGTGAAATACACACATCAGTCACAGACACTAGCCACAGACTCTGGCTGCCACTTCTCTAGAATTACGTCACCTCACCCACGTTCCCTGCAGGAACTTTACTAATATGTTGCAATATCTTTCGCAGTCAATATCTTTTGCAATATCTTTCGTCAGAAACCGACTCTGCAACTAGCGGACGGAGGATCGAGCTCCCACCACTTCTTGCGCTGAATGACTCTCATGAATTTAGCGCGCCATGTGAAATTCAATTTGCATATCCAAAATTCACACCCCTCAGAGTTACCCAACATTCACAGTCCCAGAGTTACCCAACATTAACACTCTCAGAGTTACCCAACATTCACAGTCCCAGAGTTACCCAACATTCACAGTCCCAGAGTTACCCAACATTCACAGTCCCAGAGTTACCCAACATTCACACCCTCAGAGTTACCCAATATTTACACTCATCAAGTAATCCAACATTCATCCCCACAGACTTATCTGTTAGTTATACCCAAACAATGATCTACTTGTTACATCCACAGATTGACTGGCTATTACACTCACAGACTGACCAGTTGTTACGTTCACAGATTGATCTAGCTGTCACACCCCAGGACTGATCCAGCTTTCACACCCTCAGATTGATCCAGTTGTTACACCCCCAGAGTGATCCAGCTGTCACACCCCCAGATTAATCCAGCTGTCATACCCCCCTGATTGATCTAGCTGTCATATTCCCCCAGACTGATCCATCTGTCACACACCCCAGATTGATCCAGCTGTCACACCCTAAGATTGATCCATCTGTCACATCCCCAGATTGATCCAACTGTCACCCTCCCCCCAGACTGATCCAGCTGTCACACCCTGCCTGCAACAACATCACCCTGGTTGGGATCGTGCTGTGTCTAGGATCCATCTTCCTGCTGGGGTTGGATGGTCAGTTTGTCAGCCAGCAACAGTTCCCTACGGTGTGTGGTCTAAGAGCGTGGTGTCTCACCCTGGGCTTCACCCTCGCCTATGGTGCCATGTTCTCCAAGATCTGGCGAGTCCACAGACTCACCACCAAGACCAAGATGGAGAATAAGGTGGGTTTCCCCAGCAATGGATTAATTTAATTGGTAATAATGACAGTGATTCACAGCAAGTCTAAATCAGTCCCTCCAGGATCTTCCAGGATCTTACGTAGAACGAGGGACTTCAGACTGAGTTCTTGTAGACTGAGTCTACAATTCTCTGTACGTTTCCTAGCCTCACCCTCCAACCAGAGAACCATCCCTAAGCTATCCCCAGCAAAGACAGTCTGGCACCGTCCCTGGCAGCAGCAACATGTACTATTCCTGTCGTCGTGTGATCCGTGAAAGGTATCCTTCTTGTATGAGTTCCAGGACCTGTACTGCGTGAAAATATTAATACAGACTGCGGCATAATTTACTATCACAGTTAACTATTAGCTTTGAAGATCTGTTGCGAATAAAATTTGGTATTTACAAGATATCACATAGACACTAATATCCCATTTTCTTCAATAAAACTGAGAAAATGTGACATATCCAACCCTAAACTCATTAAAACCTTCCACTATGAACCACCACCTGTGTAACTAAACTGCAAAGAAAATCTCTTTAGATCAGGAGCCCCTCATCAGCATCAAGGTTGATGAATGAAGCCAAGGTTCATTGTTAGCTGCTGTGTTGTGGTTGAACAGCTCACAGTACTAAAAAACCTGCTGATCAACCCACAACACAACAGTACTAACCAATCTTCTGCCGATCAACCCACAACACAACAGTACTAACCCACGACACAGCAGCTCTTAATCAACCTCAGAATCCTTCAACTAAACCCCTGTTTTCTCATAACACACCAGAGGTAAACGCTCCATCAGCAGCACACACTTGACAGGCAATATGGTGGACGATCAGTATTGTGACTTGTGCAGATTCTCCGTAGCAGTACATCAGTAATCACAGCAGAATATTAACTACGATTTAATCAGCGTTGTATATTCCTAGCGCTCTCTAACCAATGAGCTTTGGTATTTGTAAAACATACAAAGTCTAAATCATATAAAAAAGTCTAAATCTTACGAAAGATTCTGAATCATACAAAAAGGTCTAAATCATACTGAAAGTCTAAATCATACAAAAAATCTAAACCATACAAAGACAAGGCTAAAAGTGAGAGAAGAGTGTGTTTATGATTCAGTACTTGTCGAAATGTTTAGTGAAGAGTGAAGCTTGCTTAGATGTTTCGTGAAGTTGAGATGTTTAGCCTAGCTTGTTGAGATGTTTCTTGAATCTCATTGGTAGATATATTTACACGTTTCGCTCACCTATCGGTGGGTGATGTCTTCAGCAATTGATATTGCGACGTCTATCTTATAATTCAAATAACTTTTGTGTGTTCGCTAACTGGTTTGTGACACCGTCCGTGATTCTCTCGTCTTACAGAGGGTGGAGCCGTGGAAGCTGTACGTGATGGTGGGGAGCTTCGTGGTGGTGGACGTGATCGTCCTTAGTGTGTGGCAGGCGGTGGATCCCCTGCAGAGGAGGCTGGAGGTCTTCCCTCTGGAGAAGCCAAAGGACGCTGTTGAGGACATTAAGATTAAGCCAGAACTGGAACACTGCGAGAGTAAACACAACACTATCTGGCTAGGTATGTGTGTGTGTGTGTACTCACATATTTGTGGTTGCAGGTGTTGCGAGGGCTCCTTCGAGATATGATGGCTGGAGATAAACACACTTGGTTGGCTGTAATCACTTATATTGGCAGAGTCGTGAGGGGGATTCTGTAGCGATACTAACACAGGGAGACAGGTCCTGGCACCGCCTCTTTGCTAATCGCTACTAGGTCCCACTCTGTCCCCGCTCCAAGAGCGTTATCGTACCTCACCTTAAAGCTATGTGTGTGTGTTGTCAACGTTTCTTACCCACTGAGTTGTGTTTGCGGGGACTGAGACTCATTCTTGTCCCCGTCGCTGTCTCATCCAAGTCATTCCACTTGTCAGCCAGCCTGAGACTACTGAAATACTTCCTTATTTGCATAACGTGATATCACCTGTTTACTGAGTGTCCTGTCACTCGATTGGTAGCACACTCAGTTCATACACTGAGGTCCATGGCTCGATCCCCGGTACGGGTGGAAATATTGGGGCGTGTTTTCCTAAGACACCTGCTGTCCATGTTCACAAACAGTAAGTAGGTACGTGAGTGTTAGCCGACAAATGTTGATCGCATCCTGGGACAAAATTAACCTGTTTTGTCCGAAATGCTCTGCATAACCATTGGCTTACTATATAGTATATCACTGATGTCAGCTAGTTCTGTATAAGCTGTATCACGTACAAGGTACTCCCGTAATTATAACAGTCATGTTTGTATATTATGTCTGTGGTACACGATAACTCGGGGCGTCATCGAGGCCCCGAGTTATCGATGAAAGGGATGAATCTTTATTTGTTGTGATATGTTACAGATGAATCAATTAAAGAGATGAAAGGCCTCCTACGAGTAGGAGGCCCGAAGTTATCGTCTACTACGGACATAATGTACAAACAAGATAGTTGAAACTACGGGAGTACCAACTTGGGGCCTTCTACGAGTGAAACACCCTGTACTTATAGAAATAAAAATTATTATTATTATTATTATTATTATTATTATTATTATTATTATTATTATTATTATTATTATTATTATTATTGCATTACGGTGGTTGTTTGCAGGTTTGCTGTACGGATACAAGGGCCTCCTTCTAATCTTCGGTCTTTTCCTGGCTTACGAGACGAGAAGCATTAAACTCAAGCAGATAAACGACTCTCGACTGGTAAGTTAACTGTTTGTAAATTAGACACATGTACAACACTTCTCACATATACTATGTTCTTATCAAGAATGGTGGACTGAGTACATCGATTCCAGACCGAGAGACTGATTACCTCAACCTCCTTCTGATCTTCAGGGACTTCCCTGGTGGGAGACGTTTCTCTCACCAGGAACTTCCCTGGTGGGATGTCTTATTAACATACTTGGCAGTATACTGTAAACCACCCTTGATATACAACAAAGACTCTAAACGCAAAGCATTTTTATGCCTTTACTCATATCAATTACTGGCATTAACAATAATTTTGTTATATATTTTATTTATAGAAGAGCACTTTATTCAGAAGTTGATAACGTTCTATTTTAGGTGAAATTGATTTAATTATCAAATCTGTGAATCAGAGTTGTCATTTGATCAGAAGACCTGATTTTCTGAATATTTGATGTGATATGTTATAGATGAATCAATTAAGGGATGAAAGATGGCTGATGAAGTGATAGCGTTGATAAATACGCTGCCAGAATGAAGTTGTGTTAGTTGGTGTCTGTCTGTTCCAGAGGATGGACCGAGTGCAAGACACTGAAGACTGTGATAAACAAAGCTAATTATTAAGCCTGGGGTTTGAGGCTGAACTTGAATTTATTATCAGTTGGATTTCTTGTTAACAGAAATTGACAAAACATTTAGAATGGGAGAGAAGTGGCACTCGTTGTGAGGTTCTGCGATGTCGGAAGATAATCTCTGATTAGCTAAGTGAGGAGAGTGAGTATCATGAACAAGGAGGAACCTCTACACTTATGCAACAATTGAGTATCCTTATTCTGGTAACTTTCGCCAGCCTGTGACATCTTCAGTCCAGTGCAGAGAAAGGTGGAAGATGTGGGGTTTCAGGTAATCAGTCCCTCACCCTGGAGTAAATGTTTCCAGAATAAAGATACTTAAATGTTACACAAGTGTCTAATTTACCAACTTGTCGATTTTCTAAATAATTTATTCAAATTCTACAGTGTGTTAGTGGCACACCTGACACACACACACACGCCCCTGGCTCTCCTACAGGTGGGTATGAGCATCTACAACGTAGTGGTGCTGTGCCTCATCACAGCGCCAGTCACTCTGGTTATATCCACGCAACAGGACGCCTCCTTTGCCTTCGTCTCTCTCGCCATCATCTTCTGCTGTTTCCTCTCCATGGCTCTTGTCTTCGTTCCTAAGGTCAGTCTTCGGCCAAGAGTGGCCACCATCCCTGTGTATCTCAAACTGCATTTCATAAATCTGGTTGCTTAATAAGGCTTATCAACTACTCAAAGAGGCCATAAGGCTGCCTCTGGGATCAAATCTAACTTACTTCTTTGAAGATTCTACTGTTAAGGGATAAAGATGCAATTAGTGTGTCACCGAACATTTCGTCGGTAATTTTACCATTAATGCTGAGATTCTACTGTGATAATTGTCAAGAAAATCTAGTCAACAAACTTTCCACAGCTGTCTAACATAGCCTTCCAAACCTCCGCTATTTATTTTGTATATTCCCTCAGTATAACCCTATAAACTGTTCGGGTATATCCCACCAGTATTCTTGTATAACCATTATATAGTTCTGCTGTATATCCCTGAGCTATGAATTCCTCCATACTCAAGCCTATATACCCTTTTTTTGTTGCCTTTCTCTCACATATTCCTGGGGTATATCCCTCACATACTACTGGGATATATCCCTCACACACTCCTGGTATATATCCCTCACATACTCCAAGAGTATATCCCTCACACCCAACAATTTCTTAATTTAATCTCCTTGCATCTACCTAGTACACCCCTGCTATGTAATTCTGCATACCCAGTATACTCAGGGTATACCTCTGGCGTATACTTCAACAGATCGTGGAGATCGTGCGTCACCCGGGGGAGCGTGTGGAGGCCACGGGGGATACCGCCCCCAGCAAGGAGGAGGAAGAGAGGTACCACAAACTTCTCCACGAAAACGAAGAAATGCAGAGACTAATTGCTGAGGTAATTCTCTCTCTCTCTCTCTCTCTCTCTCTCTCTCTCTCTCTCTCTCTTTCTATCTTTAATTCCCATTTAGCGATCTCTAGTACTTTAATATTATCATATAATAATAATAATAATTATAATAATAATAATAATAATAATAATAATAATAATGTACAACACACTCAAAATATTCAATATACCAAACCGAACACATCTAAAATACTTATAATACCAACATACTCAACACAATATACTCAACATATTATACTCAACACAATATACTCAACATATTATATGCACTACAATATACTCAACATATTATACGCAACACAATATACTCAACATATTATATGCAACACAATATACTCAACATATTATATGCAACACAATATACTCAACATATTATACGCAACACAATATACTCAACATATTATATGCAACACAATATACTCAACATATACGCAACACAATATACTCAACATATTATATGCAACACAATATACTCAACATATACGCAACACAATATACTCAACATATTATACGCAACACAATATACTCAACATATTCAACATAACACATTCTTGTTCTCTTACATCTTGCAGAAAGAGGAGAAGATCAGGCTGTTGAAGTTAAAGCTTCAGGAGCGAACCGTCTTGAGGAACAGGGAACAGCAGCAGCAACAGCAGCAGCAACAACAACAGCAACAGCTGGCATCAGAAAACCACGTAGCGGGAGTAGATTATTCTACCCACCACATGCGTCTACGCCAGGGTACGTGGGTATTGGTGCATGTCGGTGATGGTGTACGTGAATGCTAGTGTACGCGAGTGATGGTGTACATGGGTGATGATGTACGTGGATGATGGTGTACGTGGGTGTTAATGTGCATGAGTGTTAGTGTACGTCAGTGCTAATATAAGTACATGAGTGCCAATATATATATATATATATATATATATATATATATATATATATATATATTATATATATATATATATATATATATATATATATATATATATATAAGGCGTACTGATTGCAAGAGATGAACTAGGTCAGGTCAGAGTTTACTTGTTCACTAACTTTAACTATAGTTTACTCATCTACGAAGGAATTAGGATTATCTCTGAGTATGTACTGAAATATAAACATTCTCGGTGAAATGTATATATATGTGTGTGTATTTTTACAGTATCCAAGGATTCCCAGAAAGACACTCAACCCTTGCTTACCACCGATATAGAACTGTATTACGGCTGTAAGTAATCTTATGAACCAACAGACCGTGTGCAGTGTTACTCTGTCTCACGCTACAGTACATGCACTCAGTGTCACACACACACACACACACACAAACACACACACACAAACACACAAGGTTGTATTTAAAGGTAAGAAACGCAAGCTTTGTAACACCAGCACTTGTGTAATCTTCCAGCTTTAACGCTTCACTAGACAAACACTAGGCAACTCTGTGTTTACTCTAGTATGTGAGACACACCAAACACAAATATATAAAACACTGTTCTTGATTAACAAGGACGCACAGTGTTGTGTTCTGAGTAAATTCTTTCACTGTTGTCATAGTTACTATGCACTGCTGCTTCCTAACTTGCACTCAAAGCTGGTGTTCAGGCACTCAACATTGACACAAGCACTCAGGAGACGCACTCATGCTTATAGTTGTGCTTTGTCGCTAGTGATATATACAAAATATTCAACATCAGGAGTGTGTACCAGCAGTACAGTGACTGTCACTGCTGTAAGACGGCAAGCACTCAGCACCAGACACGCCCTGTCACTGCTGTAAGACGGCAAGCACTCAGCACCAGACACGCCCTGTCACTGCTGTAAGACGGCAAGCACTCAGCACCAGACACACGCCCTGTCACTGCTGTAAGACGGCAAGCACTCAGCACCAGACACACGCCCTGTCACTGCTGTAAGACGGCAAGCACTCAGCACCAGACACACGCCCTGTCACTGCTGTAAGAACAGCAGACAGCACCAGACACACGTCCTCATAGTGTACGAGTGCCGTGTATACCTGTTGTGTTGTCGGTGAGGATCACAACCCAAGACTACAACAACCAGCCTTCAAACACTCTGGTTGGCTAGAAAGTAAATACACTTTATCGCATGTACACTTTCAGTTTCGCGAAGAAGGCTGCAGTGTGAGCCCGAAATATTTAATACACCTTTTCTGCTTCATTATGTCCACACCAGAAACTTTTGTTGTATCAGAACTGGTTATTGATAAGCGAACTTTTGGTCTAACAAATTTACGAACATTATCGGTCCACAGCAGGATTCGAACCTGCACACTCTGCATCAGAGTACACAGATTTTAGCCACTCAGCCAGATACTATATGTATAAATCATGCGCTCACGGGCGCCTTGTGAATTAAATTTGCATATAAAAAATTCTTAAAACTTGTCAATAAGAATTCAATAACAGTAGCTTCATTCATTGTCTAGCCAGTGAGTAAATCCATCGAACATTGTGTAATTACGTCATAAGCCAGTGTTTTTAAATGGGTTAGAGAACCTATCACAGGTAAGCCAGTGATTGCCTGACCACTGATTGGGTTATCATTTATCATTTTCCTGTTTCCTGACAAACGAAACACTTCCTCAATTTTGTATACAAGATTTTACCTTGTTAATGTATTATTTTTAACCACAGACTTTTATAACTTAGTGTGTTCGTAAACCGAGTGAAACTTTGTCATAAACGAACTTTTCCATACTGCATTAAAGAGTTTTCTCTCTTCCAGTTTGTGCTAGCTTACATACCGTCACTATGACAGTTCAATATCTTTATTATGTACCCCATTACCCATCTTGTGGGCGGTAAGCAAAAGATTATAGGTACATAATGCTATGACAGTTTAGATTATCGTCAATGCTGTCTTTTCCTATTGAAGACTCTTATCATATACTATTTTCTTCCTGTTGTTTACATTTGTGAATTCTTACTTTCTGTTTAGTAATTCTAAAATATAAATAAGATATAAGTCTTTCTTATATCTTATTTAGCGTTTGTTTACATTTTATGTACCTGAAAGATATGTTTCCCTTATATATATTGTTTCCATTTTCTCTCTCGAGGGTTTATTTCTTATTTGCTAATTATTCCTTTCATTTGCGTTATATTCCTCATGTTTGTTGATTGCTGATCTGTTTACACTCTGCAGGTGGTCGTCCAGCAGTGAGGATCGTGACTCCCGATGCGTCCTCTGGAGGGGATCACGCCTCAGTCCCGAGGATCAGTTTCGACATCTCTGAGTCTTATCTGTGAAGTCCCCAGCATCACCCGACCCGTGGCTCTGTGAGGCACTGGGCTCGTGGACCAGTGGACTACTAGGCCTGTGGACCAATGAGATGCTGGAATCATGGACCATTGGACAGCTAAGATCAATGAGTCACTGAATCCATGAACAAATGAACCCATAGACCAATTGACTATTGAACTCATGGCCTGAACCCATGAATTAGTGCAATACCAGATCCACGGACCAGCGGAACAATGGTCCCATGGTCAAATGTTCCACTAAAACTATGGGCTAATGCCACACTGAATCAGTGATCAGTGAGATACGAGACCAATGGACCACTGAACCTGACTCCTTGGGCTCATGGACCTCTGAATTCACTGGCAGGTTGCGTATTCATGAATCATTGTATCATTGGAACTATGGGCTTCGGGTTCATGAAATACCACATCCAGGAATCATAAGTTAATGAATCGTTAAATACACGAATCGCAAGTCAGTGAAACACTGAACTCATAAGCAATGAAGTAATAAATCACAGATTCAGTGGATCAGTGAGCCATTGAGTTAATAGACTAACGAACCACTGAATCCCCTTACCACCAGTGGTTCACCAGAAAGATGGACCTCTGGACCAGTGGTATATTGTGTCAATAGCTGGGGCTGAGGCCTGTAGGGAGAACGCTGCCTCCTACAAAGCGGCGAGGATGCCTGAAGGATACTCGAGGTTATGGCTCTAAGCATCTATCCTCGAAAACCTTTCGAGAATTTGTGCCCGAAGATACGTTTTCATGGTCACTCTCTTCTGGGTATGACTTCGAGGACGCTCTTCTTCGAAAGACTTAATCTCAGTATTTCTTTCCCCTAATATTTCTCGAGAACGTTCCCTGGAAAACACGTTTTCGACTTCGTCTTCTCGGGGGGGGGGGGGGGGGGGGGGGGGCAAAAAAAAAATCAGGTCTTCGGGAATTCTATCTCGATAACGTGTTTTCGAAAACCGTTGTATCCTCGGTGTTCGTGCTGTTCTCAGTTTAATTGAGAACGATGTACACTGAGCTGGTGTCCCGTTGAGGGAGTCCGGCTAATGTGCATTGTACCAATGATCCCAACGGTAAACGGAAGCCGTTGTCAAGTTCTGTCTTTCTTTACTGGTAACAGTGGCTCACCGCTTGTTTGTTCTTCTACTCGTGGAGGATAACGGGAGTCTCCTGCCCTTCAGTGATGGACTCGCGCCGTTTGTGAAGAGAACCATTCCATTCAATAGAGGTGTGTTGTTTAAAATGTGACCAGATCACGCCGTTAATACTATGTTCTTACAGTTTAACTTAACATTCACGCCGTTAAGCAATTTTATATATAGTCCACATTCACCGTTGAACCTTTCACATACACTGATGAATAATTCACATACGTTTAACAATCCACATACACCGTTGAACAATCCACGAACAACCCCCGAAACCCTCTCCAGGTAAACTCCAGGTAAACTGTTCAACAATCCACGTACACCGTTCAACAATCCACATAGGGCGTCGAACACTCCACAGCGTTGAACAATCTACAACGTTGAACAATCCACAACGTTGAACACTCCACAACGTTGAACAATCCACATACACCGTTCCACAATTTACATCAGCATTTTAGATTTCGAGAAATTAATGAACAAGAAAGCCTTAAAAGAAAAAGTGCTGAGGATAAACACCGTTGTACCACAAAGTAACGTCGCATATCAGAAAGTAGCGCTTTAAGTCGCAAAGTAACGTCGCAAGTCGCAACGTAACACCAGAAATTGATGCTAATTGTTTCTGTAATAGATGACAATTCAATTGGTATATTCAAGGTGATGAAATGCGAAAAATCTCCGATTTAGGCCTAAGTCAGAACACTTTTCTGACGGCCCAATATATATATATATATATATATATATATATATATAATATATATAATATATATATATATATATATATATATATATATATATATATATATATATAACATGTCTAAAAGGAACGTCTCATGAGATCCCAAATATATCATCATAGATCGGCAGCAAAAGTGAATAAAGTTTGACTTTGGGTTGGTTGGCAATGCTTTCGCCTCGTACGCTAATTGTCCGTGGTTCGATCCCCGACGCGGGTGGAAATGTTGGGCATGTTTCCTTATACCTGCTGTTCCTGTTCACCTTATAGTAAGTAGGTGCCTGGGTGTTAGTTATCTTACACTTGTTGTTCTTGTTCATCTAGCAGTAAGTAGGTACCTGGGTGTCAGTCGACTGGTGTGGGTTGCATCCTGGGGAACGAAATTGAAGGCCCTCAATGGATATATGACAGAGTCTTCGATGACGCACTGACGTTCTTGAGTTATCCTGGGTGGCTAACCCCCCGGGTTAAAAATGCAAACAAATCTTAACATAGTTTACGATAATGATTTAGACACCTACGCAATATCTGTGAATCTTTACTCTGTCGACGTTTCGCCCACCAGTGGCTTCATCAATACAATATAAAAGACTGAAGAGGCAGAAGATGATAATTAATGTATCTACAAAATACAACACCAATTCTGTTATTTATAACCAGAAGAATTAACAGGTTATGAGAGACGTGGTTGACTGTGAGGGAACTACAAACACCCAGACAGTTAAATAAGAAAAAGGCACAATATAGTGACTGGAACAATACACAAATAACCCGCTTACGACGACGTTTCGGTCCGATTTGAACCATTTACAAAGTCACACTGAAACGTGGTCGTAAGTTTCCCTCTCCTATGTGCGGGTTATTTGTGCACTGAGTTCTCTGATAAATACAAATATCATTTGATAAGACACATATGTAACAGTTAGGTATCGTTATTCCAGAACGTTTCTCCTACAGAGTAAAGTTTTTCAGTCAAATACAGTGGAGTCTGCAACAGCAATAGCAATGTAAGGACGATGATGTATTTTAAGGTGGTCAGTCTGTCAGCCTGGAACAGAACTCTCCACTCAAACGAACACATCACTTTATGTCTGATGCGCCCAGAATGTAGTGGCTTTCTTGACGCGGTTATTAATATCTTAGTTGAGAATAATCTGGTAAGGTGACAGTACTCACCTTATTGTAATCAGTTGGTATCCTATAGCTGCCATCAGGATTATGTACCATTATAAACGGCGACGCCCATCGATTCTTATTCTCGACAGGCCATGTAATAACATATAATCTATTTCTTTCTAGGGAGTTTCCTGTTTAACCGGACTCATTCTGCTCGGTAGGTGCTGCTCCTTGAACATCAACATCGTGTTCACCTAAAGTATAACACTGAGGGATATCACTGGAACGACAGGTATACTCGAGTAGAAGAGATTTAATATCAGCAGCTTTATCAACTGACATGCATTCTAGGACCTTGTCTAGAGACTGCAGGGTAAGGGAGTTCTCTAGACGTAACTATTCCCCTAGTAATGTCAAGTAGTCTGTCTTGATTTTCAGTTCGCAAAGGAAGAACTGAAGCAGAAGTAAGAGTCACTATATGTCTTAAGTTGATTCATGTGATACGCAAGACCTATTTTCTTTTTTAACAGACTACAGACTAAGTCACATCACTTAACTTTATAAATTCTAATGGCCCAACAAACCTTGGTTGTAAAGCATGTGATGGAACAAACTTATGGGATATTCCTTCGTCTCCAACATGCGAAAAGAAACGTACCAGTTCACGAACGATAGATCTAGAGCTGAGCTTTCTCATAGGGATGGCTTCAAGATAATGGGAGGAACAAGCCATTAGAGAGGAACAATCCATTATAGAGGACGTAGTGAATATAGAGATTATCTTTTTAAAGCGGGCGAGACCCACGAGACAACACAATTAACTATATAAAGCGAGCGAGACATTACAATTAACGATGCTAAGCGAGCGAGACCATACAATATACAACGAGCGAGACTTTACAATTAACAATGGAAAGCAAACGAAATCACATTGAACAATATCAGTCGAGCGAGACCACACGATACAAAGCGAACCACACAATATTAAACGAGCGAGAACCACATAATATCAAACGAGCAAGAACCACACAATATCAAACGAGCGAGAACCACACAATATCAAACGAGCGAGAACCACACAATATTAAACGAGCGAGAACCACACAATATCAAACGAGCAAGAACCACACAATATCAAACGAGCGAGAACCACACAATATCAAACGAGCGAGAACCACACAATATTAAACGAGCGAGAACCACACAATATCAAACCAGAGAGAACCACAAACTGGTCCACTGGTCCACTAGAGGAAGACACAACACTGACCAGGACTTTCGTTAACTGAACCGATGATCTTCGATAATATATTATAAAGTCATAAAAAAAACTAACCATAACAGATACCCTCAGGAAAAAAATACAAAAAAATGAATAAAATGATAATAGTATTTTTTAGAAGTCTATTCTTCTATGCTGATTTTTTTTTGTTTGTTCATTGTCACATGTTTAATTGTTGTAAAGAAAAAAATTCAGAGTTTTAAAAATATATGAGATTAAACGACGTTATACATCTTCATACATTAGCATATAAAATTTTGTTTAATGTATAATATTATATATATATATATATATATATATATATATATATATATATATATATATATATATATATATATATATATATATATATATATATATATATATATTGTGTGTATGTGTTTTGCTTAATAAGTAAAAGTTGTCAAAAAGGCTGAACTCCCCTAAAAATTAGACTTTTTCCAAGATGTTTTACAGATTGATGGATATATATATATATTTTTTTTATTGATACTGATGCAAGACAAATTATTTTTGAAGGTCATGATTAACTTTGTGTAATATTAGTTAAAGTCAATATTTTTTTTTTTTAAGGTCAGATTGATTTTTCTAGATTTATGGCCCAAAAAAATCATTTTCATTCTCCTTATTCGGCAGAAAAACCTTTGCTATTTAGGCATAACTGGACGATTTGGCTTATTCCGTACGACACCACCCACCCACCCACCACACCCACTACCCACCCACCCACACCACTCACACCCACCCACCCACACCACACCCACCCACACACCCACCCACCCACACCCACACACCCACCTCACCCACCCCCCACCCCACACCCACCCACACCCACCACCCCACCCACCCCACACACCACCACACCCACCCACACACCCACCCACCCACCCACACACCCCACCCACCCCCACACACCACCCCACCCCCACACCCACCACACACCCACCCACACACCCCCCACATACCCCACCCACCCACACACCACCCCACCCCACCACCACCCACACCCACACCCAACCACACCCACCCCACCACCACCCACACACACCCACCCACACACACCCCACCCACACACACCCACCCACACACCCCACCCACACACCCACCCACCCACCCCCACCCACCCCACACACCACCCAACCCCACCACACCCACACCCCACCCCACCACCACACCCCCCACCCCACCCCACACCCACCCACACACCCACCCACACACCCCACCCACCAACACCCACACCACACACCCCACACCACCCACCACCCCACCCACACACCCACCCACCACACCACCCACACAACCCACCCCACACCCACCCCACCACACCCACACACCCACCCACCCACCCCCACACACCCCACACCACCACACCCCACCCAACCACACCCCCACACCCCACCCCACACACCCACACCACCCACCCACACACCCACCCCACACCCACCCACCACACCCACACACCCACCCACACCCACCCACACCCACCCACACACCCACCCCACACACCCACCCCACACCACCACCACCCACCCCACACAACCCACCCACACACCCACCACCCACCCACACACACACCACCCACCCACCCACCACCCACACACCCACCCACACACCCACACACCCCACACCCACCACACACCCACACACCCACCCACACACCACCCACCCACCCCACACACACCCCAACCACACCCCACCCACACACCCCACCCACACCACCCACCCACCACCACCCACACACCCACCCACACACCCACCCACACCCCACCCACCACACCCACATCACCCACCACCCCACACCACACACCCACCACCACCCACCCCCCACCCACACACCCACCCACACACACCCACCACCACCCACCCACACCCACACACCCACCACACCCACCCACACACCACACACCACCCCACACACCACCAACACCCACACACCCACCACCCACACCCACCACACCCACCCAACACCCACCCACACACCACCCACACACCCACACCACACACCCACACACCCACCACCCACCACCCACACACCCACCCACACCACCCACCCACACCACACCCCACACACCCACCACACCCCACCCCACACACCCACCCACACACCCACCCACACACCCACCCACACACCCACCCACACACCCACACCCACACACCACCCACACCCACACACCCACCCACAACCCCCACCACCCACACACCCACCACCACCACACCCACACACCACCACCACCCACCACACACACCCACACCCACCCACCCACCCACACACCCACCCACACCACCCACCCACACACCCACCCACACACCCCACCCACCACCACCACACACCCACCCCACACCACCAACCCACCACACCCACCCACACCCACCCACACCCCCCAACACACCACCACCCACACACCCACCCACCCACCCACACCCACTCACCACACACCCACCACACACCCCCACACACACCACCCACACCCACCCCACATCACACCACCCAACACCACCCACAACCACCCACACACCCACCTACACACCCACCCACACACCTACCCACACACCCACCCGAACACCCACCCACACACACCACCCACCACAACACCACCCACCCACACACCCACCGCACACCCATCCACCCACCCGCACACACACTCCCACACCACCCACCCGCGCACACACACACACCCACACACCCACCCGCACACACACACCCACCCGCACACACACACACACACACACACACACACACACACACACACACACACACACACACACACACACACACACACACACACACACACATTATATATATATATATATATATATATATATATATATATATATATATATATATATATATATATATATATATATATATATATATATACGTGTGTTGTGTGTGTGTGCAAAGAAATCAGTGTCAGGTGACAGTGCAAAATAATACGTAAGGCAAGAGTGATTTTTCGGTGCCTCCAGTTCTAAATGATGAACAGTGTCTTTGGCAAAGATTTGAGAAGCATCCAAGTGTGAGCAGCCCGTGGTGTGAGCAACCCGTGGTGTGAGCAACCCGTGGTGTGAGCAACCCGTGGTGTGAGCAACCCGTGGTGTGAGCAACCCATGGTGTGAGCAGACCACAGTGTGAAGAACACGTGAGGCTGGTACTTGCATTGCTTCAAGTCTGTGTACAAAAGACCGGTCATACTGTACTGTAAAGCTTCTAACATCACTCCATTCCATAGGTGGTGTCTTGCACACACACAACAAATTAGTACTGACCTGATTACTGTTATTAAAATAATAATAATAATAATAATAATAATAATATAAATTAGAATTAACTAACAGTGATGGAACAGTTTTGACTGATTCTTGCCCCAGTAGGCAAATCTGTTCATTATTTACTAATATCTTGCTATATTTTTCAGTATTTTGTATTTTGTTTTTTCAACCAGAAGACTGTATTTAAGTTCTTGCCTTCGTTTTCACAGAACCTTCAGTCGTATGACTGAATTCTCATCTTCGTGTTGCTGGCATGTTTGGTCGCAAGATTTATGTAGTAGGTTGGTAGACAAGAGTCATCTTGGGATGTAATATCGTTCTGTTATACGATATTACACTGGCCGGATCGCTGGTCTTTTCTTGTTTGTCTGATTAAAATGTAACACAGAAGGGAAATCTTGCAAGCTCTACTTGTATTCGGTATACACTTGGCTTCAGTATACACTTGGCTTCAGTATACACTTGGCTTCAGTATACACTTGGCTTCAGTATACACTTGGCTTCAGTATACACTTGGCTTCAGTATACACTTGGCTTCAGTATACACTTGGCTTCAGTATACACTTGGCTTCAGTATTCACTTTTTATTTGTGTTTCTTAATTCTTATTCATGTATTACCGGGATTTCATTTTTAATTTAAAAGGCCTCGTCTAAAGCGTGCCTTTGGGACACTGATTCTTAGACATTTTTCACTCCATTTCCCACGTTGAGGAATTCTTAAATTTCTCGTGAACCCCTTATTTTTATAAATCATAAAAAAAATTATTAAAATGAACTCTTTAGATCCTGAACATACAAAGAAAAAATGCATTAATTTTCTGTTTTGGCACCATTATACTGCATTTTTACAATATGAGGACATAATTTTGGCTTCTTCCTTGACTAGTTTCACAACCGTAAGACAAATCTGAATTGATCTGAGAAAAACATCGCAAGAACGGATGACACTGCCCAGTTTCGGCAAGTTGCATAATGTTACCATGTGTTTTGAGCAAAGTATATCTCATATCCGGGTCCACATCTAATATGTTCCGACTTTTATTCTTTATCCGTTGGAAGGTGGAAAACCCTAATTCGCATTAGAAGGTTGTATAAAATACCACCAGGACTCGTAGTGCCACCTCACTAACTTTTGGCTACGACTGATACACTGAAGACCACAGTACAATCAATGACTTTTCGTGACAGAGTTCTTCAGTTGTAAAATAGTTTTTGGGATCAAGGAATTCATCATGAACATCCTTATGAATGATATCAACACTAAGAGTACCAGAGAAAGTATTTCTCACTAATTTGACTTTGACTTCTCATGTTCTGTAAATATATTTTGAGCTGACTTCCCAAGGATATCAGGTGTTCATTAATGTCAGTTTTGAGTCGAGTCATGCGGATGAACTTCAGTGTCGAAGAGGACAGATGAAAGATTCTCGAACTCAGCAGTATTTCCTGCATGGATCTTCATTCTGCTAATTTTCTAGTTTGCCAAGAAATCTATGAAATTAAACACATTTGTACCCTTGCCATGTAGCTTGAGACTCAGTTTAATCAGTTGCTCAAATATGTCAGCCAAGTATGCAATCTATGGCTCCTACATTATTAAGGTAATCCGCAAGATTATCCATATTTTGCATATCTAGGAACAGTCGATTCGTAACATTACTCTTCGAAGGCCAGAGCACAGCGAAATAAAGGAGGACAGCTGTTCTGAATCCATGTCTTTACAGAGTTGCTTAAAAAAGGCGAGAGTTCTGGGTTCCTGTTGTCAAGAGGTTGACGCATTGGATCACTTTTTCCACGATCTTGTGGAACGGGTTAGGAAGGATTTTTGATACCAGTGCAAAACAATGGATACTACGAATTCCCTTAGTATTCAGAGATAAGTCTTTGACCCGCTTCTGGAGTCCGACTTGCATCCAGCATCACCGGAGCCACAACTCTGCAGACTCCGCAACAATTGTCCCATAGACGGATCATCCTGACGAATCAAACAACTGCCCCATGTGACACCGCTAGTTGCGAGAAAGAGAACAGGTTATTCTATCATATCCACAGCTATAGTAATGGTTTCAAGGTGTGTACAGAACAGATGTTCATCCTCATTATCGCCCGAGAAAACATAAGCTGGGAGCAAGAATTTACTGAATGAAAAGGATTTAATTTTTTCATACCTACCATGGACCTCCCCCTAAACTCTTGCCATCGACATCTGTTTAGAATCGTTGTCCTAAAACCAATTGATACCAAAAAGTAAGATAGCATGAGATGTTTGGAAGCCCCAGATATTTAAACTCGTAGTGCCATAAGATAGCTGCAGGACGCCTTCAACATCGCAAAATCCCTGACATAGGTCATCTTACCTGGACGGACAACTACTGTACTCATGACTTGTTGACCCTCCTCGTCATTCCTCTCTTATTCATCACTACATTTGACCCCAGAAACAGGTTTAGTGATATCCTGCACCTACCTTTCCAACACTACACCTCACTCAATAGATTATATATATACAAGAATGGTAAATCCCTCTATTTAACTTGATAAAACTCATCTTTGAGCAAAACGTTGAGTAATAAAGGCTTTCTCTACTATAAGTGCATTTTTGTGTGTTACAAGACCTGTTTGCTTTCTTAAGTTTATGATCTCAGATCTCATCGCAAGACTGTGAGTTCTTATTTTCGTTCTAGAGTTTCATGTTTTCAGTATATTCTCGGCAAAAGTTTTCTTTCTCCAAAATATCATTTTCGTTAAGTTCTCAGCAATATGCTCTCACAGGACTCGGTTGCTCGAATGTGTTTGAGCTCTCATCTTCGTGCTCATAGGTTTGGTTGCATGAAAGTTTAGTCTCTCATTCTGTTGTTTCATACTTACAAGTTTGATCGTAGGATTGTTACTAAATTCTCATCTTCGTGTTCTCGGAATTTTTAATAACGAGACTACGTGTAAGTTTTCTGTGCTGCCAGATGGTTTGATCAGAACTTTGTGTCTGAGATTTTATCGCATTGCTGTGATGGCATATTTAATTTTGATAAAAAAATATTCCAGAAGGTATGGTCTCAAGTCATTGTCTTTTTTTCTTTATTCTTTCTGAAGGTTTGGTCATAAGACTGTGCTGTGTGAATTTCGGATCTTAATATTCCCAGAAAATCTGACTACCAAGTCTTTAAGTTTCACCTTTATGCTCAGGGAAGGTATGGTCGCAGAACTGCGTTTCCAGGTGATATGGTCATAAGACGTAGGTAGGAGGTTGATAGACAACAACCATCCAGGGAGGTACTACCGTTCTGTCAAAAGGGTGCTGAAAGGAAGCCTGTCACGCCTTTTGCTCTCTGGCAGTATTGCTGGTTTCTTTCTCTGTCTCATGTACATGTAAGATTGCAGGTAAATCTTACAAACTTTTACCATAATACAGTATACACTTGAACTTCGTTTCCTAAGCCCTTTCTAATAGTTCTTATTCGTATAATATTTCTTCTTCAAATCTTTTCAGGCTTGGTCTGAGGCCGGGCAGCATGAGGGACGGTCAGTGGAAACTATACCAGGTATTAACAGATAAGTGACTCTGCTTAAACAGTCACTTACGCCGAAAATCTGGTAACCAGGCTATGTTAAGTTCTCTTCCTCGTGTTCGTAGGAGTTTTGGTCGCAGTACTGTGTTTGATCACGCTACTGTTTGATCACGCTACTGTTTGATCACGCTACTGTTTAGTCACAATACTTGTTTTTGTATTTGGTGGGAAGATTGTGTTTGCCTTTTGATCTTGCCGGATAGTTTGTCTGCATGTTCTCGAAACATCTGGTCACAAGACTGCTTTATATTTTGGTTTTAGTGTTACTGGAATGTTTGTTCATTAGACTATGGTTGAGCTCTCATTTTAGCTTTCTTGAAATATATGATCGTTAACTGGGCATGGATATTCATCTTCGTGTTGCCTATAGGTTTGGCTGCAAGACTTTGAATTCTCACTGTTATGATCGCAATACTCTATTTCAATGCTCATCTTCGTGTTTTCTGGAATATTTAATAGCTAGAATGTTTGATGTTTAACCTCTGTGCTTTCAGAAGGCTTGGTTACTAGATTCTGAATTCTTACCCCCGTGTTTCAGGAAGGTTTGTCTGCTCTCTTGTTTGTAATTTCTCATATTCACATTGCCAGAAGTTTGTCACGAAGCTGTTAATTATGATCTCATTTTCACGTTCCTAATAAATAAACAGCATGACTGTTTTTTGTATTGTAGTATTCTTGTCCAAGAAGGGCTTTGTCTCAAGAATGTGTCAGTTCTTATTGTATCTTCGTGTTACTGAATGTTTACTTGCGAGTTTTCTCCTTCGTGTTCCGGGCAGGTCTGATCTTATGACTGAATTTGTGTTCAAATCTTCGTGTACACGGAACGATTGATCACAATGCTTTTTCAATTATGAACTTTATGTTTCCAGGAAGTCTGTTTTCATCACTGTGATTGTATTCTCATCTTCGTATTTCTGGAAGGTTGAAGAGCCAGATTCTGTGTTTCAGTTCTGATCCACCAGGAGGCCTGGTCACAGACCGGGCCGCGGGGGCGTTGACCCCCGGAACTCTCTCCAGGTAAACTCCAGGTAGTTCTTATCTTCGTGTTCTACGAAGGTTGGTTACTACGTGCCAGCATTAACGGTCTGATTGATCAGGGTTATGTACCCCCAAGGCAGGGCTTCATACTGAAAATAATAAGAGAGTTACCAAAATTCAATTAGAAGTAAGAAGGAATTAAACATAAATAGGAATAGTTCACTTGATCCCGGAGGTTAATTTTAAAAGTATGTTATTACAAAAATAATTTAATTTAATCACTATGAAAGTAGATAAACATTGTTTAATACAGTCTGTCAAGAAGAGCACTGCATATAGTGTGTTTATCTTCATCAGAGTATTGTAAGAAATAAGAGCATAATGTTATAATCCTGACTGTAAAGGATTATGGATATCTCTTGTGACCGCAGGCAGGTCAATGATTACAGAAGTAATGGACACTACAAGTTTATCCAGTAATAATCTAACAGATAGCACAAAAATATACAATAATAACAAGTAGGCTTCAGTGTCTCACCTACAGAGAAGCGTAACAACAACAGTATCTGTACGTAGCCACGAGGTATCCACACTCCGACCACAACGATGGATATCGGGAGTGCAACGCGATATCACCATCACCAGAATATTGATATCTAAGAAAGAATGGGAAGGAATATCCGGAGAGAGTCAATTATGTAGGGAACTCAGCAGAAGTAATCGAAGTAACTCATTTAAGACGGCCGGATATTAAGATGGCCTCTCTAGTCAAGTGCCCGAATCATTACAAAAAAAAAAAAAAAATGATTCACAAGGAGAGAGGTCAAGCTGGTGAGTTTGTTAACGAGATATCCAGCATCTGGTTACACCTTATATACTGTACATCACATACCTATGTTACATCACATACCTATGTTACATCACATACCTATGTTACATCACATACCTATGTTACATCACATACCTATGTTACATCACATACCTATGTTACATCACATACCTATGTTACATCACATACCTATGTTACAGTATTATCATTCATCTTCTAGTAATGATATGGCATCTCATATGGCACGGTAAATTTCGTTTCCTGTGCACAGAAGACCCTTCATAAGTAATTAATTATGGTTAATGATTATACTATTGTTAATAATAATTATGCTTAACTGGGCATAGAATTTGTTGATTAGCTCATACACTTCCAACACTGTCCTCCGTATTGTCTAACACTGGTAGATAGTAACCATCCAAGAAGTTACTTCCATTCTATCTTATGGGCATTAAACGGAAGCCTGGTACACGTTTTGCACTCTGGCATTAGTGATGATATTTTACTCTGTCTCATATACACGTAAAATTGTAGGTAAATCTTGCCAACCTTTACCACCATTCAACGTGCCCTCAGCCTGCGTTTCCTGCATGCTTCCTCGTTCTTATTAATATTCTATTTCTTCTCTTCGATTTTGAAGGCTTGGTCTGAGACCCTGGAACCATTACTCGCCTTCACGAAGGAAGGTTTTGTCGCAATACTAATGTTTAAATCGTATTATCGTATAAACAGAATGTTTGGTAGGAAGACTGTGTATGGCTTCTCGTCCTCATCTTTCCCGAAGGTTTCTGCGATTGTTTGAGGTTTCAATCTTTACGTCTCGAAACATCTGCTCACAATGCTGGGTTTGACTGTTCGTTTTCGTGTTCCTAGAAGGGTTGTTCACTATGCTGTGGTTGTGACTTCATTTTCATGACCTTGAAGGGTAAGGTCGTTAGGGTATGCCTGAATATCCATCTTCGTGTTCCCTGTAGGTTTGGTAGCAAGACTTGCGTTTGAATTTTCAACTTGATACTTGCAGAAGATTTGATCACAGAATTGTCTGGATTCTAATCTTCGTTTTCTAAATGGTTTAGTAACCAGACTTCTTTAGGCTCCATTTTCGTGCTCTTTGAAGTCTTGAGTACATGACTCTATGTTTAAGGTGTCATCTTCGTGTTCCTAAGATGTTTAATTTCAAAACTTTAATAGCATGGTTGTTTTAATGCTCTAATATTCGTGTTTCAGGTGGATTTCGTCGCAAGACTGTGTTTCAGTACTTATCTTGGTGTTCCTGCAAGGTATGTTAGCTCGTCTTCGTGTTCCATGCAGCTGTATCCGCAAAACTGTGTTTGAGTTCTCAATTTCATGTTCCATTGAGGTTTGGTATCAAGACTGTGTATGATATCTCATATATGCACGGTTACAGAATATTTGGTCTCAAGATTGAGTTTGTGTTTTAATCTTTGTGTTCTAAGCAGGTTTGGTCGCAAGTCTGAGTTAGTTCTTGTACTTGTGTTTATGGAAGATGTCTCAAGATGGCTGATTTCCTTGCGACACTATGGTTGTGTTCTCATCTTGGTGCTCCTGAAAGGTTTAGTCAAAAGACTAAATTTTCATCATTATATTCCATGGAAATTTTAACTCTCATCGTCGTATTCCCAGCTGGTTTGGTTGCTCCGCTATAAACCATACCACTGGCGGGATTTCAAATCCCGCCCGTGGTATGGTTTGTTTGCAATCGTGTCATTACGATTTCGTGAGTCATGTTTACTCCGCTATCCTTGGGTTCTCTTGTTATGCCTCCGGAAACAGTGTTCACAAATCTGTAGTTGAGAGCTTTCGTCTCTAGGCTCCCGGAAAATTTGGTTACAGGATTTTGTTTGAGTTCTTAGCATTATCCCGTAAGGTTTTATCGCAGGACTATTTCCTAGCTCTTCATGCTCTGTGAGTGTTGGTCGTAAGACTATGTATGAGCTCTTATTTCTGCATCCCAGGAAGATTAAGCCATAAGAAGTAGGCGATAGGCTGGGTGGCAGCAACCATACAGGGATGAACAATTCTGTCATATGGGTGTGAAATGGAAGCCTGTAAAATATTTTGAACTCCGGCAGGATTGCTACAGAATGTCAGTTGAATCTTTAAAATTTCTACTTGCATTCTATATTCAAACAGCTATGCTTTCTTGTATATTTTCTAACTGTTCTTGTACACTTATTTACTTTTCAATCTAGAACTCTTTGCCTGAGACGGAGACGCAAGACAGATGATTGTTGAACCCATACTTGAGACTGAACCCAGATTAAGTTTATTCACATATGAGACTATTTAAGTTGTCGTGTTCGTGTTCCTTCATGGTTTACTCTCAAGACTGTATCTGAATTATTTTGTTATTCCGATGAATATTTTGTTTTTGGTATTATCTTAGGGTTTCCATGAAGGTTTAGGTGCCAGTGTTAAAGTTCTCATTGTATTCCACAGAATGTTTGGCCATAAGACTCTGCTTGATTTTTATTATTGTGTTGCTGAAAGGCTTCAGCAGCAACACTTTGAGTTTTCATCTTCCTGTTTGAGAAAGATTTGATCTCAGGTTTGTCTTGTGAGAATTATGAACTCTGAAAAGCTGGTTACTTTATTGCTTGTAAATAAAATTAACTTTTTTTTTATGTGAATATAAGTTCGTATGTTTTTCATTGTGTATGTTTTACTTTTAAATTCCAAAAAAATCTATAAATGTCTTGGCTTAGTTTGTAAGTCAACCGCTGCTAGTAACTGTTATATATAGTTTGAAGACTTATGTACTCTTAACAATTACGAATATAAAGAAGAGAATGGATTAACATATCTTTTGAGATAGCCAGATTTCGTGTTCTGAGAAAAAGTAATAAGATAGCATTCCTTACTCTAAAGTTTATAATAACTTGATCCTGAGTAGTTAAAATCTTAGAGTACCATAGTAATTCCAAGTAATGTGGGAAGAGGATTTAGTGCCACATAATAACCACTAGTCCAAGACCAGACCCCGGTATAAATCCCTCTCTGATTCTAGATCTGAGTATCATTTTCTGAAGACTCCTGATACAGTAGCAGATTAGTAGTGTATAATTCCCAGAGAAACATCGACGTATACAGCTGTGTTACTGTAAACTCGAGGGGAACCTGAATCTATTGCCATCACTGCGTCCTGGAGCCTCATCAAGTCCCAGCTAACTTTCATTCTTTATTGTAAAACACTCGTTCCATTTGTGTGATGCGGTCTTCAAGGCGACAGAGAGATGAAGAATGAGACCCTTGTGCAACATTCGGGAATCTTATAGAGGAAATCTTTCGCCAGTCATTGACTAGCTAGCGTTTCGCAAGTCACTGAATAGCTGACGTTTCGCCAGTCACTGACTGGCGAAACGTTTCCTCAATAAAGATTCTCGCATATTGCGCATGCGTCTCATTCTTCAATTAGCTAGTTTTTCTAGACCAGTTACGTCATGCCTCCTCTTCCACTCTGGACCCATAAGAAGAGCATCCAGTAATATAGCTGCGATCGTCTTAAGTTTAAATTTGATAAAGGTCTTATTTCTTTTGCAAGTTCATTCTGATAATGAGGTAATCAAAAGTACAATGAAATGATGATTGATTTCAGTACCGTTAACTGCTGGTACACTGTGAGAGACCATCTGTAACAGAGACTGACATTGGTACCTGTGACTATGACAATGGTATACAATACCGACAAGTTGATAAGTAAGACACATATGCAACAGTTAGGTATCTTTATTCCGAAACGTTTCACCTACACAGTAGGCTTCTTCAGTCAAGTTACAGAGGAATCAGCAGAAGTAGCAGAGATGTAAATTTTGAGATGGTCAGTCCCTCAGCTGAGGGACTGATTGCTGCACATGTATCTTTTTTATCAACATTGGTACCTGTGACTGATCAGTCGTGTTAATGTTAGACACAAACATGTCACGATCCTTGTACAGTTATTTTAAAGACCAAAGATGTGTCTGTATTTTCGTCTTGATAAATTGGACAAGGAAAAATATAACAATGAATTATAATTTGTTTTTCTAATCCTAAAGAGAAAAGGTCAGAATCCAACATGAATCATCTTGTTTGTTCCGAGAGAATCATGTTCTGTTCTATGGTGTCTTTTACGATGAAACTCTTCAGGGTGAGGGAGAAGGGTGCCTTGATGCTACTGAATAATAATAATAATAATAATAATAATAATAATAATAATAATAATAATAATAATAATAGTTATACACATGTGGACCTCTTGAATATATTTAGTGTAGATAAGTTTCATTAACCAGAGGCTTCACTAATTCAGTACAAGTGTAATTAGGAGGTGTTAAAATTGGAGACAGTGGAGGATGAGGTAATGACTCCCTCACTCTGGAATCCAGTGTCCAGTGTTTTAGTCTCATCAAGGATAAGTTGAACTCATTACGATTGTAACCAGACACAAACATGTAAATAGTTCACAAACTTGTTCAGCTATCAAAACTTTGTGGTCCAGTACGTCCAAGACTCACTTACGTACGTCCAAGACTCGCTTACGTACGTCCAAGACTCACTTACGTACGTCCAAGACTCACTTACGTACGTCCAAGACTCACTTACGTACGTCCAAGACTCACTTACGTACGTCCAAGACTCACTTACGTACGTCCAAGACTCACTTACGTACGTCCAAGACTCACTTACGTACGTCCAAGACTCACGTACGTCCAAGACTCACTTACGTACGTCCAAGACTCACTTACGTACGTCCAAGACTCACTTACGTACGTCCAAGACTCACTTACGTACGTCCAAGACTCACGTACGTCCAAGACTCACTTACGTACGTCCAAGACTCACTTACGTACGTCCAAAACTCACTTACGTACGTCCAAGACTCACTTACGTACGTCCAAGACTCACTTACGTACGTCCAAGACTCACTTACGTACGTCCAAGACTCACTTACGTACGTCCAAGACTCACGTACGTCCAAGACTCACTTACGTACGTCCAAGACTCACTTACGTACGTCCAAGACTCACTTACGTACGTCCAAGACTCACTTACGTACGTCCAAGACTCACTTACGTACGTCCAAGACTCACTTACGTACGTCCAAGACTCGCTTACGTACGTCCAAGACTCACTTACGTACGTCCAAGACTCACTTACGTACGTCCAAGACTCACTTACGTACGTCCAAGACTCACTTACGTACGTCCAAGACTCACTTACGTACGTCCAAGACTCACGTACGTCCAAGACTCACTTACGTACGTCCAAGACTCACTTACGTACGTCCAAGACTCACTTACGTACGTCCAAGACTCACTTACGTACGTCCAAGACTCACTTACGTACGTCCAAGACTCACTTACGTACGTCCAAGACTCACTTACGTACATCCAAGACTCACGTACGTCCAAGACTTACTTACGTACGTCCAAGACTCACTTACGTACGTCCAAGACTCACGTACGTCCAAGACTCACTTACGTACGTCCAAGACTCACTTACGTACTTCTGTAACCTTGTGACTACCACCCACACCATGGGTATCAGGTGCATAATGAAAAGATTAAACTTTGGTGTGCTTAAACACACGTCTGCAGAGGAACTAGGAATACGAATATAGGAGAGCATATTTTGACGCTCCTAAGTTGACGCTCTGTTAGCTAAGTTGACATTTTCTTTGTTAATATTAACCAGAGAAGGGAACAGTACAGCAGGTCTACTGGTCTATGCTGTGAGATAGAACAGCATAGCAGGCCTACTGGTCCATGTTATGCGACAGAACAGCATAGCAGGCCTACTGGTCCATGCTATGCGATAGAACAGCATAGCAGGCCTACTGGTCATTGCTATGTGATAGAACAGCATAGCAGGCCTACTGGTCCTTGCTATGTGATAGAACAGCATAGCAGGCCTACTGGTCCATGCTATGCGATAGAACAGCATAGCAGGCCTACTGGTCCTTGCTATGTGATAGAACAGTAGCGGCCTACTGGTCCATGCTATGGATAGAACAGTACCAGCTACCTGGTCCATGCTATGTGATAGAACAGTAAGCAGGCCTACTGGTCCATGCTATGTGATAGAACAGTAGAGCAGGCCTACTGGTCCTTGCTGAGTATAGAACAGTACAGCAGGTCTACTGGTCCTTGCTATGGATAGAACAGTACAATAGGGCCTACTGGTCCATGCATGTGAGATAGAACAGATAGCAGGCCTACTGGTCCATGCTGTGAGATAGAACAGTAAGCAGGTCTACTGGTCCATGCTGTGATAGAACAGTACAGCAGGCCTACTGGTCCATGCTGTGAGATAGAACAGACAGCAGGTCTACTGGTCCTTGCTATGTGATAGAACAGTAAGCAGGCCTACTGGTCCATGCTGTGAGATAGAACAGTAGACAGGCCAGGTCCTTATGGTCCATCTGTGAGATAGAACAGATAGCAGGCCTACTGGTCCTTGCTGTGAGATAGAACAGATAGCAGGCCTACTGGTCCATTTCTGTGATAGAACAGCATAGCAGGCCTACTGGTCCATGCTATGCGATAGAAAGCATAGCAGGCCTACTGAGTCCTTGCTATGCGATAGAACAGTATAGCAGGCCTACTGGTCCTTGCTTGAGATAGAACAGATAGCAGGCCTACTGGTCCATGCTTGTGATAGAACAGCATAGCAGGCCTACTGGTCCTTGCTATGTGATAGAACAGCATAGCAGGCCTACTGGTCCTTGCTATGTGATAGAACAGCATAGCAGGCCTACTGGTCCTTGCTATGTGATAGGGGGACAGTAGAGTAGGCCTACTGGTCCATGCTAGTGATAAAGTAGGGGGGACAGTAGAAATCCGGCCTACTGGTCCATGCTATGTGATAGGGGGACAGTAGAGCAGGCCTACTGGTCCATGCTATGTGATAGGGGGACAGTAGAGTCGGCCTACTGGTCCATGCTATGTGATAGGGGGACAGTAGAGCAGGCCTACTGGTCCATGCTGTGAGATAGTGGAACTGTACAGCAGGTCTACGGATCCATGTTGTGAGACAGAATAGTACAATAGGCCTACTGGTCCATGCTGTGAGATAGAACAGTATAGCAGGCCTACTGGTCCATGCTGTGAGATAGAACAGTACAGCAGGTCTACTGGTCCATGCTGCGAGATAGAACAGTACAGCAGGTCTACTGGTCCATGCTGTGAGATAGAACAGTACAGCAGGTCTACTGGTCCATGCTGTGAGATAGAACAGTACAGCAGGCCTGCTGGTCCATGCTGTGAGATAGAACAGTACAGCAGGTCTACTGGTCCATGCTGTGAGATAGAACAGTATAGCAGGCCTACTGGTCCATGCTGTGAGATAGAACAGTACAGCAGGTCTACTGGTCCATGCTGTTAGATAGAACAGTACAGCAGGTCTACTGGTCCATGCTGTGTGATAGAACAGTATAGCAGGCCTACTGGTCCATGCTGTGAGATAGAACAGTACAGCAGGTCTACTGGTCCATGCTGTGAGATAGAACAGTACAGCAGGCCTGCTGGTCCATGCTGTGAGATAGAACAGTACAGCAGGTCTACTGGTCCATGCTGTGAGATAGAACAGTACAGCAGGTCTACTGGTCCATGCTGCGAGATAGAACAGTACAGCAGGTCTACTGGTCCATGCTGTGAGATAGAACAGTACAGGAGGCCTGCTGGTCCATGCTGTGAGATAGAACAGTACAGCAGGCCTGCTGGTCCATGCTGCGAGATAGAACAGTACAGCAGGCCTGCTGGTCCATGCTGTGAGATAGAACAGTACAGCAAGTCTACTGATCCATGCTGCGAGATAGAACAGTACAGCAGCCCTGCTGGTCCATGCTGTGAGATAGAACAGTACAGGAGGCCTGCTGGTCCATGCTGCGAGATAGAACAGTACAGGAGGCCTGCTGGTCCATGCTGCGAGATAGAACAGTACAGCAGGCCTGCTGGTCCATGCTGTGAGATAGAACAGTACAGCAGGCCTGCTGGTCCATGCTGTGAGATAGAACAGTACAGGAGGCCTGCTGGTCCATGCTGCGAGATAGAACAGTACAGCAGGCCTGCTGGTCCATGCTGTGAGATAGAACAGTACAGCAGTCCTGCTGGTCCATGCTGCGAGATAGAACAGTACAGCAGGCCTGCTGGTCCATGCTGTGAGATAGAACAGTACAGCAGGTCTACTGGTCCATGCTGTGAGATAGAACAGTACAGCAGGCCTGCTGGTCCATGCTGTGAGATAGAACAGTACAGCAGTCCTGCTGGTCCATGCTGCGAGATAGAACAGTACAGCAGGCCTGCTGGTCCATGCTGTGAGATAGAACAGTACAGCAGGCCTGCTGGTCCATGCTGTGAGATAGAACAGTACAGCAGTCCTGCTGGTCCATGCTGTGAGATAGAACAGTACAGCAGTCCTGCTGGTCCATGCTGTGAGATAGAACAGTACAGCAGGCCTGCTGGTCCATGCTGTGAGATAGAACCGTACAGCAGGCCTGCTGGTCCATGCTGTGAGATAGAACAGTACAGCAGTCCTGCTGGTCCATGCTGTGAGATAGAACAGTACAGCAGGCCTGCTGGTCCATGCTGTGAGATAGAACAGTACAGCAGGCCTGCTGGTCCATGCTGTGAGATAGAACAGTACAGGAGGCCTGCTGGTCCATGCTGTGAGATAGAACAGTACAGCAGGCCTGCTGGTCCATGCTGTGAGATAGAACAGTACAGCAGGCCTGCTGGTCCATGCTGTGAGATAGAACAGTACAGCAGTCCTGCTGGTCCATGCTGTGAGATAGAACAGTACAGCAGGCCTGCTGGTCCATGCTGTGAGATAGAACAGTACAGGAGGCCTGCTGGTCCATGCTGTGAGATAGAACAGTACAGCAGGCCTGCTGGTCCATGCTGCGAGATAAAACAGTACAGCAGGCCTGCTGGTCCATGCTGCGAGATAGAACAGTACAGCAGGCCTGCTGGTCCATGCTGCGAGATAGAACAGTACAGCGGGCCCTGCTGGTCCATGCTGTGAGATAGAACAGTACAGCAGGCCTGCTGGTCCATGCTGTGAGATAGAACAGTACAGCAGGCCTGCTGGTCCATGCTGTGAGATAGAACAGTACAGCAGGCCTGCTGGTCCATGCTGTGAGATAGAACAGTACAGGAGGCCTGCTGGTCCATGCTGTGAGATAGAACAGTACAGCAGGCCTGCTGGTCCATGCTGTGAGATAGAACAGTACAGCAGGCCTGCTGGTCCATGCTGTGAGATAGAACAGTACAGCAGGCCTGCTGGTCCATGCTGTGAGATAGGGGAACAATATGTGTGTAAGTATACGAAAATGCTCAGGTATTTGTGTGTTCTTTCACTATTATTTTTCGTAATTCCCATCGCGCGTTTGAGAGTGATTTCCTCCCATATAAATACATCACAGGAACAGTAAATTATGACACAACAGAGAAGAGAGGAGAGGGAAAGAAAAGTTTTCTTTCGAATGGGCAATATTATCTAAGGAGAAATGAAGTATTTTTATTTAGGAAAATCGGATACATGTTCAAGGCGCTGCTACATTATTCTATATAATGACATAGTGAATACAAGAAGGTAGTTATGTTTCTTTGTTATATTCCACCACGCAGGATGGTGCTCATACACGGCGTTGAGTAGTGTCAGCCTGAGGTGGGAGGCTTCAGTAGTGTTAGTCTGAGGTGGGAGGCTTCAGTAGTGTTAGCCTGAGGTGGGAGGCTTCAGTAGTGTTAGCCTGAGGTGGGAGGCTTCAGTAGTGTTAGCCTGAGTTGGGAGGCTTCAGTAGTGTTAGCCTGAGGTGGGAGGCTTCAGTAGTGTTAGCCTGAGTTGGGAGGCTTCAGTAGTGTCAGCCTGAGTTGGGAGGCTTCAGTAGTGTCAGCCTGAGCTGGGAGGCTTCAGTAGTGTCAGCCTGAGGTGGGAGACTTAAGTAGTGTCAGCCTGAGCTGGGAGGCTTCAGTAGGACAATGAGGATATCACCAAGTACCCCGCTGAGAGCTCAGCTACGACAGCTTCAGAAGTTTCCGTCCAGCAGAGCTGAAGTTACTCTCACGATAGCCTATCCCAGTTACTGGAGAACTGAAATTTGTATGAAGGTAACCCATCACACCCGAGCGTGAGCGCGGGAGAGAAAAATTACACAAAGGAAACACGAAAGAAACGAGAGGGTAAAGAGGAATTTGGATATCATAGTATATGTAAATATTATATATACATTATTATATATATATATATAATATATATATATATATATATATAAAATTATATATATATATATATATATATATATATATATATATATATATATATATATATACATCAGTGCATAAGAATGGAGGAACACTGCAGCAGGCCTATTGGCCTGTACAAAGCAGGTCCTTATCAAAAGCTAACCCCACCCAAGTATTTTTTTTTTTTTTGATAACCATCTCTGGTGGCATTCTCACTTCCATTACTGGGTAAATTAGCCAATAACCCATTGTTAAAATGCTTACATTAACCTCCATGACCGTGTCGCCCAGCTGAGAATTCTGCGTAAATGAGAGAGCATTATATCTCCGGATAACTCCATGCAGAGTCATTATATGCTGATGACAAACTATCCGGAGTTGCTGTGTGAGTGGGCATGGGTATCTATGGGGCAGTGATCCACGACATGACAGTGGGTGCTGGAGAGGTCCTGACAGTGGGTGTCACTCCTGACATGGCCAGCACCCACGCCCACTGACTCTTCACATCTGACATGGGCGGGAACACCACCTGTATCCCGCTCTTCACTCTCTTCATCTGGAAATAAATATTAAGAAATTAGTTTAAAAATAAGAGAGAGAGAGAGAGAGAGAGAGAGAGAGAGAGATAACAGTCATACTACACTACACCAGTAATACTGTCACACTACACAGAACCAGTCCAGAAGGTAATTTCTTCTAGTTGGTTCTGACACAAACTGTTTTATAAATCGATCTTAAATCATTTTAAAGAAAGTCACTATATCTTAAATTACCTTTCAAATTGCTGCAGTCAATATGTCTGTCGTTGAAATACCCCACTAAAACTTCCTCTTAATTTCTAGGTGACTAAAATAAATTTAAATAATTCATATTAAGCGCTAAGCCTATCAGGTTTAGCACTTAATATGAGCCTCCATCAGTGTAAGACGTGGTGGAGGCTCGATCCTCCGTCTGCCGAACGTGAGACAAATGCACGTCCTACTTGTACTCACCTATATGTCCTCCAGATACCTGAGCCATTTCGTCCCTCACAAGTTTATCATGAGCACTATCTATGGTTTACTGTCTACAGATTACACCTAAGATTAGCTTTTCACCTCCTTCGAGAAATTGCAGCCAAATACATTCCCTGTCTGTAACCTCCAGCTACCTCTAACTTTTTTCACTAAGGTATTTGAGGAGGTAGATCATGGTAATGAATATGATATTGTGTATATGGACTTCAGTAAGGCTTTTGACAGGGTCCCACATCAGAGACTATTGAGGAAAATTAAAGCACATGGAATAGGAGGAGAAATTTTTTCCTGGATAGAGGCATGGTTGACAAATAGGCAGCAGAGAGTTTGCATAAATTGGGAGAAATCAGAGTGGGGAAGCGTCACGAGCGGTGTTCCACAGGGTCAGTGTTGGGCCCCCTGCTGTTCACAATCTACATAAACGACATAGATGAGGGCATAAAGAGCGACATCGGCAAGTTTGCCGATGACACCAAAATAGGCCGTCGAATTCATTCTGACGAGGACATTCGAGCACTCCAGGAAGATTTGAATAGACTGATGCAGTGGTCGGAGAAGTGGCAGATGCAGTTTAATATAGACAAATGCAAAGTTCTAAATGTTGGACAGGACAATAACCATGCCACATATAAACTAAATAATGTAGATCTTAATATTACGGATTGCGAAAAAGATTTAGGAGTTCTGGTTAGCAGTAATCTGAAACCAAGACAACAGTGCATAAGTGTTCGCAATAAAGCTAATAGAATCCTTGGCTTCATATCAAGAAGCATAAATAATAGGAGTCCTCAGGTTGTTCTTCAACTCTATACATCCTTGGTTAGGCCTCATTTAGATTATGCTGCACAGTTTTGGTCACCGAAATTACAGAATGGATATAAATTCTCTGGAAAATGTACAAAGGAGGATGACAAAGATGATCCCATGTATCAGAAACCTTCCCTATGAGGATAGACTAAGGGCCCTGAATCTTCACTCTCTAGAAAGACGTAGAATTATGGGGGGATATGATTGAGGTGTATAAATGGAAGACAGGAATAAATAAAGGGGATGTAAATAGTGTGCTGAAAATATCTAGCCTAGACAGGACTCGCAGCAATGGTTTAAGTTGGAAAAATTCAGATTCAGGAAGGATATAGGAAAGTACTGGTTTGGTAATAGAGTTGTGGATGAGTGGAACAAACTCCCAAGTACCGTTATAGAGGCCAGAACGTTGTGTAGCTTTAAAAATAGGTTGGATAAATACATGAGTAGATGTGGGTGGGTGTGAGTTAGACCTGATAGCTTGTGCTAACAGGTCGGTTGCCGTGTTCCTCCCTTAAGTCAATGTGACCTGACCTGACTAGGTTGGGTGCATTGGCTTAAGCCGGTAGGAGACTTGGACCTGCCTCGCATGGGCCAGTAGGCCTTCTGCAGTGTTCCTTCGTTCTTATGTTCTTATGTTCTTATATTGTTTCTGATGCAACAGTTTATATTCCCCCTCCCCCAACATACAAGCAACTCCGCCACTATCAGTGTGGAATAATGTATACCCCTACCTGGACCCTATATGTATATTTAAGATAACATTCGCTCAAGCACAGTATCTTGATCTAAGGAATAAAGCATGAATACCTCACATTCCCCATACACTGTATGAACCCTATGGGTTTAGGACTCTCCTATGAAAGTAATAATGATAATAATAATAATAATAATAATAATTTAATAATAATAATAATAATAATAATAATAATAATCAAGCACAGTAATAGTACCAGAGTAGGTAGACAACAGTAACATAACACTAGAGTAGGTAGACAACAGTAACATAACACTAGAGTAGGTAGACAACAGTAACATAACACTAGAGTAGGTAGACAACAGTAACATAACACTAGAGTAGGTAGACAACAGTAACATAACACTAGAGTAGGTAGACAACAGTAACATAATACTAGAGTAGGTAGACAACAGTAACATAACACTAGAGTAGGTAGACAACAGTAACATAAACACTAGAGTAGTAGACAACAGTAACATAACACTAGAGTAGGAAAGACAACAGTAACATAACACTAGAGTAGTAGACAACAGTAACATAACACTAGAGTAGGTAGACAACAGTAACATAACACTAGAGTAGGTAGACAACAGTAACATAACACTAGAGTAGGTAGACAACAGTAACATAACACTAGAGTAGGTAGACAACAGTAACAAAAACACTAGAGTAGGTAGACAACAGTAACATAACACTAGAGTGGGTAGACAACAGTAACATAACACTAGAGTAGGTAGACAACAGTAACATAACACTAGAGTAGGTAGACAACAGTAACATAATACTAGAGTAGGTAGACAACAGTAACATAACACTAGAGTAGGTAGACAACAGTAACATAACACTAGAGTAGGTAGACAACAGTAACATAACACTAGAGTAGGTAGACAACAGTAACATAACACTAGAGTAGGTAGACAACAGTAACATAACACTAGAGTAGGTAGACAACAGTAACATAACACTAGAGTAGGTAGACAACAGTAACATAACACTAGAGTAGGTAGACAACAGTAACATAACACTAGAGTAGGTAGACAACAGTAACATAATACTAGAGTAGGTAGACAACAGTAATATAACACTAGAGTAGGTAGACAACAGTAACATAACACTAGAGTAGGTAGACAACAGTAACATAACACTAGAGTAGGTAGACAACAGTAACATAACACTAGAGTAGTAGACAACAGTAACATAACACTAGAGTAGGTAGACAACAGTAACATAACACTAGAGTAGGTAGACAACAGTAACATAACACTAGAGTAAGTAGACAACAGTAACATAACACTAGAGTAGGTAGACAACAGTAACACAACACTAGAGTAGGTAGACAACAGTAACATAACACTAGAGTAGGTAGACAACAGTAACATAACATAGAGTAGGTAGACAACAGTAACATAACACTAGAGTAGGTAGACAACAGTAACATAACACTAGAGTAGGTAGACAACAGTAACATAACACTAGAGTAGGTAGACAACAGTAACATAACACTAGAGTAGGTAGACAACAGTAACATAACACTAGAGTAGGTAGACAACAGTAACATAACACTAGAGTAGGTAGACAACAGTAACATAACACTAGAGTAGGTAGACAACAGTAACATAACACTAGAGTAGGTAGACAACAGTAACATAACACTAGAGTAGGTAGACAACAGTAAATAACACTAGAGTAGGTAGACAACAGTAACATAACACTAGAGTAGGTAGACAACAGTAACATAACACTAGAGTAGGTAGACAACAGTAAACATAACACTAGAGTAGGTAGACAACAGTAACATAACACTAGAGTAGGTAGACAACAGTAACATAACACTAGAGTAGGTAGACAACAGTAACATAACACAAGAGTAGGTAGACAACAGTAACATAACACTAGAGTAGGTAGACAACAGTAACATAACACTAGAATAGGTAGACAACAGTAACATAACACTAGAGTAGGTAGACAGCAGTAACATAATATACTGTAGAAGGCACACAGAAAGTGCTTCTTGAAACATGGTTTGAATAAGCATTATCCATAGCTTACTACGTGACAGGTAATGCAATCAAGATTTCTGTCTCACAAGAAATCATCGTCCTCTACACGATTCTTATATACCGTATTTTCCGTCATATAAGGCGTACTTTTCCCCCCAAAAAAGTCATGGAAAATCACCCTGCCCCTCCTCTGCCCCAGGGTAGGCATTGTGTTACGCTTTAGCAACTGTTTACTAACGTTACGTTACAACTGCCTGGAATTACCGTCTATTATATGTCTTACATGCTCGTGCATCTTATATGTCCGAAAAATATAGTACACGGGAAGGCTCTAAAATCGTTGGGAATCCTTAAGCATAATTTCATGATCATATAAACATAAGTTTTTTTACACCATTTGAGCCTAATATATCCATACAAGAATCTCAGATTTGGCTACCCATCACGGGATGTTCCAGGAGGTAGGTGAGACGTTCTTGATTCTTGATTCAAGAAATCAAACCTTCCTTCCCACTAAATATAAAAGTAATGCTAGGGGTAGAGAGTGCTGGCCAGCTTACCTTAAGGCTGTTGTTATTGATGGCGTTGTTTTTGTAGCCTAGCATGGTGATGTGGGTCTCAGGAGTGGGCTGAACCGTGCCCAGGGTCAATTTGTCACCCTTGGGCCATGACAGGACCATAGCGTACACCGTATCTGCCTTCTTGGTGAACCTGTCCCGCGGTACACATGAATAAATTACGTATTGAAGCTCTAACCATCATTCATAGTCAGGGGCATTAACACAACAAACTTTTTCTTTTCCCTTTTCCAACACTGAAGTGTATCTTACCTAACAGAATTAAGTCTTAAATTAAATTTTAGGTTTATATGTTATACTGTAAAAAGTGTAAATGATTTAGAGTGAGTGTTATGGTTTGATATACAGGAAAATACAAGATAATATTTAATTTTCTTGCGTATGGAGAAAGCTTGCACTCAACAAGTATCACTCTCGAGGAGTCACACTGTAGTGTGGCACAACATAACTCACCACACTCTAGGAGTCACACTGTAGTGTGGCACAACATAACTCACCACACTCCAGGAGTCACACTGTAATGTGACACTGACCAAGACTCACCACACTCGAGGAGTCACACTGTAGTGTGGTACAACTTAACTCACCACACTCCAGGAGTCACACTGTAGTGTGACATAACATAACTTACCACACTCCAGGAGTCACGGTGTCGTTCTGGTGTACCCAAGGTGTGGAGTCGTACACAGCATCACCATTGATGTCAAGCCAGGAACCCAGTTGTCTAAGTCTCTCTTCCATGATGGGTGGGATGCGACCATCATGAGTCGGACCCGCGTTCACCAGCAGGTTACCTGGAAAGAGAAGAGAGAGAGAGAGAGAGAGAGAGAGAGAGAGAGAGAGAGAGAGAGAGAGAGAGAGAGAGATTTAAAGTTAAATGTTGTTTATCTATGTTAATTCATTTCAAACACCAGGCCTCAGAACATGCTACCTTTAAAATCCTACTAATTCCCTAGTACTTAGCTACCGCCGGGATAACAAGACCAACAGGTATAAGACTATTCTGAACATGTGTTTGGCGCTTAACACGAAAAATATATATTTTTTTCGGCAGTGAGTCGAAGGCAATACTGTTACAACAAGTCTTGAACAGTTTGTTATGCAAGTGAAGATGGTCTTGTGTGGCGTACTCACCACCACAGCTGATGGTCTGTGCTAGCGTGGTGATCAGTTCGTGTATGGTGAGGTAGTCGAAGAGAGGAGCATTGCGACGGTAGCCCCAGGAGCCTCGGTCCAGTGTCATGCAGTTCTCCCACTTGTGTGGCTGCAGCACGCCTGTAAAACAAGATTTGTTTTTCATGGTTTGTCTGTACAGACTAAGAGTTGTTAGCCTGCTATAGTTCGCTTCAAGGCCTGGTTGTAGCTGTTCTTTACTGACCTCAAGATGCCAGCCAACTATTACTACTACTGGTACTACTACTACTACGGCTAATGTTGCTGCTGCTGCTGCTGCTGCTACTACTACTACTACTAAAACTACTACTACTATTACTGCTGCTGGTCCTTCTACTACTACTAATACTACTGTTACTGCTGCTGTTGTTGCTGTTGCTCAACTACTTTTATTAATACCACTACTACTAATAGTAATATGTATTATAAAATTATTATTATTATTAAACATTGCTTTCGAATGTGGAGTATAAGCCTTCAAAAAACTACAACAAGAAGGAATCGAGCATACCTGGGTTGTAGCGATCCTGGCAGGTATAGAAGGATCCGTGGTGACAAGGTATCCCTCTGCCCCACCTGTCGTTGACCACCACGGTGTCCTTGACAGGAGAGTCATTGAAAAGCCAAGCCAGGAACTTGGTGGAGTTCCAGTACCAGTCCTCGATCTCCCAGTCCCCGTCTGACCAGATCACCTCCGGCTGGTACTTCATCACCTGAATAAATAATAATAGTAATAATTATTATTATTTATTATATATATATATATATATATATTATATAATATAATATATATATATATATATATATTTTATATATATATATACATATATATATACATATATATACATGGATATGCAAAACAACCACTCTGAAAGAATAGAGAAATTCCAAGCGCTTTCTTGACTACTCACATTATCAAGGAACATGAAAGTAAAGCATCCAATTATCATAGTTCCTTGATAATGTGAGTAGTCACGAAAGCGCTTGGAATTTCTCTATTCTTTCAGAGTGGTTGTTTTGCATATTCTGAAATCACCTCTTTACTGTGATCTTATTGCATATATATATACATATATATATATATATATATATAATTATAATATATATATATATATAATATATATATATATATATATATATAATATATATATATATATATATATATATATACACACACACATCGCCCGCACTAGCAAAACTCAAAAGACAACGCACTTCAAAATACACAAAAAGACGCACTTTCAAACCACACAGCGCACGCATTCACAAACTTGGCAAGACAACACACTCTCAAAACTAACAATACAAAATGCTTAAATCCAACACAGCATTATAAATGTGTTTACCAATTCATAAAGCTCTGGTATGGTCTTCTCCCTCACGAAGTTATTGGTCTGGAAGTTGTTATCTTTATCCTGCAGGTAGAGTGGGTTGAACCACTCGTACATGGAGTGGTATAAGCCGAAGTGGATTTCTGGAGTGTTGGTCCTGATAGCCTTGGCCAGATCACCTGAGGAAGACATTTTTTCAATAGCTGCGGAATTAAAGAACGCTGCACTCAGTGGTAATTCTGCACTATACCATGAAGAGGTCAGTTAGGTTAGGTAAGGTTTGTCAGGAAACAGGACAAGTGTTTCCTGACGCAAGTCTTGGTTATATGATGAACCGCCGTTGGAGCTTTAGGTCATCTGACCGAGGCCTTCCTCTGGCTTACCGGTCCACCCCTTTAAGAATTATGGTCATAATTAAGGTCCATGAAGAGGTTACGCTACAAAAACGATGCCACACAAGCAAAGCGCTTAAAAAATAAGTAAAAAACTCCCTATATCACAAAATCTATAAAATGCCATCCATTTAAAATAACCCACCGAAAAGTTAATGAGATCTCGATAGATTACTTGGCAATTATAAAATCTATAACGGAATCCGGAAGGTTGAAGATGAGAAGAGTTAAACTAGAGGATACAGTTAACAGCATGCCACAAGTCACAAAGAGAGGAGCAGGATCCCTGGTAGCAGGTATTCATGGATCAAACGAAAGTAACAGTATATATCTTGTTGCTTGTGGGCCCACACAGGGTCTTCCGACGGGATATTTGGGAATCAGGGTTGGGGAACTGTTGGCATTGTAAGCATGGTGGTGCCTGTGCTTTGAGACATGGAGTTCGGGTATGAGAGAGCTTGGTAGCATGAGTATGGTCCAAGTCGGACCGAAACGTCGTCGTAAGCTCCTCTCTTCTATGTGCGGGTTATTTGTACAGCATGAGTACCATAAACTATGTAAATAGTGACCAGTGTGGCTAGTTGAGTGAGTGTGTCAACTCTCAGAATTTTTACGTTCCTGTAAGAGGTTTAGCATCCATCTGAAGGTAAATGTGTCATAATTTTCGAGTATTAAATCTCTTAATGTAAATAAACGACAGTTGTATGATTTTGAACCTGTACCGGCCTAATTGATTACATATTTCCAAACACCGTTCAAGGTTGGCGTAGTATAACAGATATTATATAACTGTTAGATTCAGTATCTATTGTATTCTGTTAACTGAATTAACAAAAGTATTGGAGTTCAGGTGTCTATACTACTTTCTAATAATTATTGATCTCTGAACGTTCACTTAGCTGTACACTAACTTGTTCGTTAAATAATGGATAATTATTTTGCAAGTTGTACATGTGTGTATGTTCAAGAGGTAATTTATTTACACATGTACTAAAATTGTTAGCCATTACGTATTTAATTTATTATTATGTTGAGAGATTCGTGAGTAAACGGAACACTTGTTTATAGGCAGAGACGTTAGGTACAAGAGACGTTAGGTACAAGAGACGTTAGGTACAAGAGACGTTAGGTACAAGAGACGCTAGGTAGCAGAGACGTTAGGTATAAGAGACGTTAGGTACAAGAGACGTTAGGTACCAGAGACGTTAGGTACAAGAGACGCTAGGTAGCAGAGACGTTAGGTATAAGAGACGTTAGGTACAAGAGACGTTAGGTAGTTGAGACGTTAGGTACAAGAGACGTTAGGTAGCAGAGACGTTAGGTACAAGAGACGTTAGGTACAAGAGACGTTAGGTAGTTGAGACGTTAGGTACAAGAGACGCTAGGTAGCAGAGACGTTAGGTACAAGAGACGTTAGGTACAAGAGACGTTAGGTAGTTGAGACGTTAGGTACAAGAGACGCTAGGTAGCAGAGACGTTAGGTACAAGAGACGTTAGGTACAAGAGACGTTAGGTACAAGAGACGTTAGGTACAAGAGACGTTAGGTACAAGAGACGCTAGGTAGCAGAGACGTTAGGTACAAGAGACGTTAGGTACAAGAGACGCTAGGTAGCAGAGACGTTAGGTACAAGAGACGTTAGGTACAATAGACGTTAGGTACAAGAGACGTTAGGTACAAGAGACGTTAGGTACAAGAGACGCTAGGTAGCAGAGACATTAGGTAGCAGAGACATTAGGTAGCAGAGACATTAGGTAGCAGAGACATTAGGTAACACAGACGTTAGGTAGCACAGACGTTAGGTAGCAGAGACATTAGGTAGCAGAGACATTAGGTAGCACAGACTTTAGGTAGCAGAGACATTAGGTAGCGCAGACGTTAGGTAGCAGAGACGTTAGGTAGCAGAGACGTTAGGTAGCAGAGACGTTAGGTAGCAGAGGCATTAGGTAGCATAGACGTTAGGTAGCACAGACGTTAGGTAGCAGAGACATTAGGTAGCGCAGACGTTAGGTAGCAGAGACGTTAGGTAGCAGAGACGTTAGGTAGCAGAGACGTTAGGTAGCAGAGACATTAGGTAGAACAGACGTTAGGTAGCACAGACGTTAGGTAGCAGAGACATTAGGTAGCGCAGACGTTAGGTAGCAGAGACGTTAGGTAGCAGAGACGTTAGGTAGCAGAGACGTTAGGCAGCAGAGACATTAGGTAGAACAGACGTTAGGTAGCACAGACGTTAGGTAGCAGAGACATTAGGTAGCGCAGACGTTAGGTAGCAGAGACGTTAGGTAGCGCAGACGTTAGGTAGCGCAGACGTTAGGTAGCAAAGACGTTAGGTAGCGCAGACGTTAGGTAGCGCAGACGTTAGGTAGCTAGCATTCGTTTAGGTCTCCTGAGTATGTAAGAAACTGGCGTAGGAACCCTGAGAGAGGAAAGATCACGTATAAAGTTTAAGGAGACAATGAACCTTGAAAGAATATCCATTAATGTTTCTCATACCTGACGGTTAATATGTAGGAATTTTCTCTGTACAGTAAATAAATCACTTAAAGATGACTCGAGTTCATTACATAGTCTGCGCGAAGTGAACTTTTGCTGTGTAATTATAATCTCTTCACGTTTATATACTTTTTTATATATTTTTTAATATATATATAAGTTTTAAATGAAATATATTATTATTATTATTATTATAATAAAAAAGAAGCGCTAAACCACACGGGCTATACAGCAATGAAATATAGACTTGTGTATATGCGTAGCCACTCAGAAACAAGTGGGTAGTTAGGGTAGGTTTAGCCAATGTTTTGATTGGTTGGCTGAGTACACTTAGCGCCTTCTGTGAGTAGTTGAAGCTGTGATCTTACTGTTAAACTCAGTGTTGTTGGAATGTTGGTGAGTTAGGTTGTGTGTGGCGGCGTCAACAATACACTGAGAGGTGTACAGTGTCTGTATCTACACTGAGAGGTGTACAGTGTCTGTATCTACACTGAGAGGTGTACAGTGTCTGTATATACACTGAGAGGTGTACAGTGTCTGTATCTACACTGAGAGGTGTACAGTGTCTACACTGAGAGGTGTACAGTGTCTACACTGAGAGGTGTACAGTGACTACACAGAGGTGTACAGTGTCTACACTGAGAGGTGTACAGTGTCTACACTGAGAGGTTTACACTGTCTACACTGAGAGGTGTACAGTGTCTACACTGAGAGGTGTACAGTATCTACACAGGTGTACAGTGTCTACACTGAGAGGTGTACAGTATCTACACAGAGGTGTACAGTGTCTACACTGAGAGGTGTACAGTATCTACACAGAGGTGTACAGTGTCTACACTGAGAGGTGTACAGTATCTACACTGAGAGGTGTACAGTATCTACACAGGTGTACAGTGTCTACACTGAGAGGTGTACAGTATCTACACTGAGAGGTGTACAGTATCTACACAGAGGTGTACAGTGTCTACACTGAGGTGTACAGTGTCTACACTGAGAGTGTACAGTATCTACACAGAGGTGTACAGTGTCTACACTGAGAGGTGTACAGTATCTACACAGAGGTGTACAGTGTCTACACTGAGAGGTGTACAGTATCTACACAGAGGTGTACAGTATCTACACAGGTGTACAGTGTCTACACTGAGAGGTCTACAGTATCTACACTGATGTGTACAGTGTCTACACTGAGAAGTGTACAGTATCTACACTGAAAGGTGTACAGTGTCTACACTGAGAGGTGTACAGTACACTGAGAGGTGTACAGTACACTGAGAGGTGTACAGTGTCTGTATCTACACTGAGAGGTGTACAGCGTCTACACTGAGAGGTGTACAGTACACTGAGAGGTGTACAGTGTCTACACTGAGGTGTACAGTGTCTACACTGAGAGGTGTACAGTATCTACACTGAGAGGTGTACAGTGTCTACACTGAGAGGTGTACAGTGTCTACACTGAGAGGTGTACAGTGTCTACACAGAGGTGTACAGTATCTACATTGATAGGTGTACAGTGTCTACACTGAGAGGTGTACAGTGTCTGTAGCTACACTGAGAGTTCACTTCAGTCTTTATTTTCAGAGTGACACTATTCATACTTGATAATATCTAATTTGTCCAAAGTCTGATTCTAATAACTACTAACAGTTGAAGTTGGTGGTGCACACAAGAGGAGGAGGACGTGGGTGACGCAGCCTGGGGATCTACACACACCAAAGGTGCAGTAAAAAAAATTGAGTTGTGTTGGGGTGAAGTGGAATTTATTTTTCCACAGTTGTGGGTTTGGAATTAAGATCTCCGCATTTATTCAAGTACTACATTCTGTGGTTTGTTAATTTCGTATCTATCTATCTGTCTATCTCCTCTCTCTCTCCTCTCTTCTCTCTCTCTGTCTCCTCTCTATCTCATCTCTGTCTCCTCTCTGTCTCTCTCTCTCTCTCTCTCTCTCTCTCTCTCTCTATATATATATAATATATATATATATATATTATATATATATATATATATATATATATATATATAAATATATATATATATATATATATATTATATAGATATATATTTGATTATAAATTATATATATTTATATTATATATATATTTATATAAGTATTATAATTTTTTATTACTAAATATTAATTTATAATATATATAAATATATATATAATATATTTAAATATATAAAGAATATATATTATAAAAGATTAATTATAAAATATATTATTAATATTATATATTTTATATATATATATATATATATATACTATATATAAATATATTATAATATAATAATTTATTATAATATATATTATATTATATTATTTATATATTAATTATATACATAATATATTTATAGAGAATAATGATATATAAAATAAATATATATTATATATATAGATATATATAATAATATAATAATTTTATATAATATATATATAATTATATATATATATAATAATATATATATATATATAATAACGAATTATTTGATTAGGCTAAATTAAATTGTGCTTGTTATAATAAGGTTAAGTAAGTTTCCTAAGTTTTTTTGGTACAAAATTATTAATTTTTACATTAACATAAATGGAAAAAATATCTCTAAACGTATAAGAGAAATTTTTAGAAAGGACTTAATTTAAAATGAAGTCTTGCTAATTGACCAATTTTATCTATTCGGCACGACATACTATATATAAACGAGACCTATTTATACACATAGGCCTACGATCAGACTTTGCTGTTACCGATTACATTACTATTGCATTTTTTTTACCCATTAATTATCAGCTCACGCAAGAAATTTAAGAGAGAAAAGAACATAAAAAAAAAGGTAAACGCGTCTACATCCCAATGGATAAGATAAGATAAGATAAGATAAGATTTCGTTCGGATTTTTAACCCCGGAGGGTTAGCCACCCAGGATAACCCAAGAAAGTCAGTGCGTCATCGAGGACTGTCTAACTTATTTCCATTGGGGTCCTTAATCTTGTCCCCCAGGATGCCACCCACACCAGTCGACTAACACCCAGGTACCTATTTGCTGCTAGGTGAACAGGACAGCAGGTGGAAGGAAACGTGTCGAAATGTTTCCACCCGCCGGGAATCGAACC